CTCACCCTATCTCTAAGGGAGGGGCCAGCCACCCTTCAGAGGAAGCTCATTTCCGCGATCTTGTTCTTTCGGTCACTACCCACAGTTCGTAACCATAGGTGAGGGTAGGGACGTAGATCAACTGTTAAATTGAGAGCTTCGCTGTTACACAGCTCTCTCTTCGCCACGACGGATCGGTACAGCGTCCGCATCACTGCAGCTGCCGCAGCAATCGTCTGTCGATCTCCCGCTTCCTTCTCCCATCACTCGGACAAATGAGCATTTTGTAAACAAATTTAGAAAAGTAGAAGCAACACCATTAAAGTACAACGGAGAGCATTTATTCACACACGTGGTGTGTGAATAAATGCTGTGCAAATCGCAGTATTCATTTAAACACTACAGTGTTTAAATGTGAGAGAAGCGAATGCCTTGCGTCCCAATTTACGAATGTTTGGATGGCAATTTTTAGAAAAACTCAGTAATTATCCTGGAAATGTAACTAAAACTTTTAATTTAAGTTTTAATAACTTACCTGGTAACCTTTGATGCGCTCCATCTCCTTACTGGCCAGCGGGTTGCTTTTTACAACACACACTAAAGCCTTGACAGCCGCATACAGTCCCTCCACATCTGACGCCATGGCAACCAGACCCAAAATGGCCGCTGCCCCTCCCACATACTGCAGGTTGGTGGCCACAGGTTTGGGCACGAATGCACGAACACCTGACGGAGGGAGAAAGAGAACAAGCGAGTTTTCATCCACTAGAGAACAGCGTGTGGTATTCTGAGTCGCGCAGATTTGGTTTACCTAAATATCCAATCACAGCAGCGCCGATGGTGCGTGCGGGACCATTAAGGTGACCGGCGGCATTGTGAATCAGTTTTACTGGAGTGGCATTTTCATGAGAGGACACGGCGAGCTGAAGAAGATGGAAAAGAAATGACAGAAATGAAAAACACACACACACCAACTCGACGGTTACTTTTAAACTCTCTACTTCGTCAGAGCCGCTTTCACACAACTTTGCACCATTTCCTCATTTGTTAGTCAAACGTTTGTTGCTGTGGATGTTTGTCTAAGAATGTTTTACTGTTAGACGCTGCAGTCTTGCACCAAGATCTGATCAAAAGCTTTACTGAGCTGAAATGAACTATTGGATTCTTTCAGTTAATTCGGGGAAGGTAAAAACAGCATTATGCAACATTGGCATTTAGAATAATTGTGTATTTATGGAGTTTTATTTCTCTCAACATGACACCCATGTTTAGCGAAGTGAGAGGGTGTGAAAGACCCAAACACTTATGCTTAGTTTGCGGGAAGTGATAATGCTGCATGAGAGGACAACAACTTATTTTCGTTCCCCTCTGCACAGTGAGTGAGTGTCTTCCTACTCTGTGACAGGTCTCTGCTGCAGAATTGCTGCCTCTGTAATTCTCTGCACTTCACTTCCTGTGCGTCGCTGCGGGAGACGGAGCAGGAGAGACGGGCAGGCTGGGAAATGACTTGACAAGTGTGGAGAAAGAGATAACACAGAGCTCATCTGGAGCTCCAACACACACTCGTGGTGGGACTGTGTGTGCTTCTTCCTTTAAATGCATCATTTAAATGCAATGGACTTGAGTTTTCTGTTGAAAAATGAAATTGACCTTTGCAAACCATTAAGTGTGTGAATGCACATCCATAGCCATTTCCAGATATGCACAGCAGCCCTATACTTTCCTAGAAGTTTCCTAGACAGGGTGCATGTGTCCGATGTAATGGAGTACTTCATGTAACACGAAGTCATGCAAAGCAGGTGATTCCCTGCTGCGAAAAGGACGTCTGTGGAAAATGCCCCAATCTAACAATCCTGAAATAGTCTGAAATCCATGTGTGAAAACAGCTTATATGTGTGTGTTTACACTTTGGACCTCAATTTGGAGTTTTTCTGCTTGTATTTAATTATTTATTAACTTCTAAGTCTTTCCTCTCTGCAAACGTTACACTTGTGCTAAGGGTAAACACGTCACCACGTGGCACAGTAGCAGAGGGAGAAGACAGGTTTCTTTTTTCAGTCGGTTACGTCAGCCAGGATGATGTCATCTCAGCCAGTGTGCTGCACACTTCAATAGAAAACTGAATTTAGAGTTACGGTTTAAAGGTTACTGTAACGGAAATAATAGATTCTTTAATGAAACTTTGACAGAATATCTGACAGTAAGATTTCCATTTAGCAGACAAACCTGCGGTGACAACAACATTAAAGCAGTGACTTTCAATTCTTTGCGAAGTCGTGCGTCTGACCTGTTTGGCGATGGCTTTGCTGTCCAGTTTGTTGTAGCTTTTCCTGATTTTGGCCACAGTGAGAGTCAACACAGAGAGCGCATACAGACTGAAAGACACCTTCTCCTCTGGCACCAGCACCACCGGAGAGGCCGGCGCTACCTCCGCCTTGGAGTCCTTACCTGCAGGAAGGGAAAATGGAGAAGGTAAAAAGTGAGTAAAAATTTTTTAAAAAAAGGAGGAGCCATGTATGGATGAACGCTGGGAGAAAAGAAGTGATGCAAGGTGGTTAAATGACAGAATAAAACTAAAGAAAAGGATTAAAGTAGAGCAAGGATTTGGAGCCTGGTTAAAAGCAGGTCTGCAGACTGTACGTCGAGGTCTGGTGGTCCACTCACAGGGGAGGTAGACGGCCTGAAAGCTGCCCACGTAGTTGGGTCCAAGCTCATAAATGGCAGCGACGCTGGCGGCAGGTAGGAACTCCTCCAGGAAGTGGGTAGGCCCAAGACGCCACACCAGGCTGGAGAGCTGGCGCTGGGCAGGGGGTGTCCCTATGTACCCATAAACAGTACTGACGACAGGAGGGTTGGTGGAGCTGGAGCCGCCTGGAGCGCTGTGGATGTAGTGAAGCTGGAGAAGAGGAAAGGTGAAGGTAATGACTCAAAAGAGGGATTTCTATAAGATATGCAGAAATACGACTGAGCTGACACATTCATGTTCAGTTTTTTGTGCTATGAAATGCAGACGTAGCCCGCCACAAACTTCAGAGACTACAAAGAGAAATGACTTACATTTGACTTGTTTATTGGCTCAGATCACAACAGAGCTTCAGAGCATGTGAGACACACAAACTCATTTCAATTATATGCACAGTTGAAGTTTGAACCCACTTAATTGGGAACCGGTCCCGTATGCTGTCCCCTCTGACAGGATTAAATAATCATCAAGTCTATATTTCAGGGAACAGAACTTAAAAACATCATAGATCAAAGGCTCTGATGATTTTATCAGTTAATATTCTCTGCTGGGTCAGTGCACAGACACATGATTTACTCCTGCGTTTGTCTTTTGTCAGTGTGAGTCAGAGACTGATGAGTTGATAGTTTGCTCTGATAACTCCTTTTGTGTCCTTTTCTTTGGGGAAGCAGGCTAATTAAATATGCATGCGTTACCTATTTACGTCAGTGATGAATTAAATGGATGGACGGAGCTGATAAATAATCGAGTTGACCTATCAGCTCCTGGATTTTAACAGCTCAGATGTGCGTTTATGTTCTAAACACGTCACAGGCACAGTGAAAACAAGCAGATTGAAATCGTTGAGATTATTTAGCTTACTGCTAACAGTTCTAAACTAAGCAGAGGAGGAGGTATCTGAGGGTCTCGTTCACGAGGGGAGGGGACAGTTGAACGGGAGACTGGCAGATTGATTGCTGCAGCGTCTGCAGTGATGCGGATGCTGCACCGGTTCGCTGTGGTGAAGAGACAGTTGAGCGTAAAAGTGAAGCTGTCGATTTACATCCCTACTCTCATCTGTGGTCATGAGCTCTGGGTAACGACTGGAAGAATTAGACAGCGGATACAAGTGGCGGAAATCAGAAGTCTCTGAAGGGCGGCTGGACTCAGCCTTAAAGACAGGGTGGGAAGTTCAGTGATTTGTGAGGGACCCAGAGTAGACCTGATACTCATCAACATCAAAAGAAGCCAGTTGGGGCAGTTCAGGCATCTGGTTAGAAAGACTCCCAGGCACCTCCTGGGCGAGGTATTGATTACTGGGCATGTCCTACATGGAGGAGGACCTGGGGCATACACAGGGCAGCCTGGGGCTTGCTACACTGTGGAAGGTCTGGGCTTCTCCGATAGGCTGCCACCCTGCGACCTGGCCGTGGATAAACAGCAGGATGGATGGGAAAACGGTGCATCGTAACTTGGTTTTCAGACTTCGACCTATCAGACCTACTCAGAATTTTAACTTATGGCACCAGAGCAGATGGAGAATCTGTCTCTGCCTCCGGCCACCCAGCACTCAAGACTAAAGTGCGACTGATTCCAGTAAAGAACATACGGCAGAGTAAATAACTACACATGACGAATGTTCGGGAAATCTGTTCGTCTCACGTGTCTGAAAGAAAAAATAAATCGGTCGATACTTTGGAATATCAGATTTTTAAATCACCAAATATTGTTATCGATCTTAAAAATCCAATATCAGGTTCTTATAGAGACAACATACTCGGCGGCCATAGAGGGACATTCAAAAAGTCATCTGCACTGCAGGAAGATCCACAATGAGATCAGGAGCCATGCTTTTGTTTCAAGGTCTCAAAAAAATCTATTTCAAAGTGCAATCGCTGCTGAGTCCAGGTGAGTCCAGGTGGATTCCAGTTCGCACTGAAGCATCCCCGCAGAGTAATCCTCTCACCACCATGTTTCACCGTGAGGACGGTGTTCTCTGGGTTGTTCACCTCCTCCTTTGTTCTCCAAACATAAGCAGCATCTCTTTGGCCACAGAGCTCTAGTTTGTTTCATCTAACCTAAAGACGCACTTCCTGTGTACATAATCTTTCTCCAGGGTGTTCTTAGCGTACCTTTATCTGCAGAAGTTGGATTTTTTCCTGTGTGGGGTTCCAGTGATCGTCTTCTTTGAGACTACAATGACTTGGCAGTTGTTCTGGGGTCTTTGGACACATTTATTTTAAGTCTGAACTGATTTCTTTGTTTTTAGCGTGATGCTTTCTCAAGTGACAGTTTAAACCCTTGCTGAAGTTTTTATACTTTGTGTTAATTGAAAGAAACTCAGTTTTAACTTGACTTTAGACCGTTTTAAAAACTTAAAGCACATCATTGTACAGCAGTGGTTTGTGCTAAGGCTCAATAAAAAGTCAGGGGCTAATAATACTGACACAGATAACTTTTGTTTTTTTCTGAAATAATTCTGTTGTTATTTTTATTTTATTTAAATAAACAAGCACATGGAGCCTTTTTTTTAAACAACCAGGGCCTTAATAGTTCATTCTTAAAATCACAAGATTCATTTATGACCAATCAAAACGCCTGATGTTACACAACAGCGAGTGACGCAGAGACACTGACTGTGGGAAGGATAAAAAGGGATATGAAAGGAGAAATACTGCTCAGCACAAAACAGCATTTCAGCAGTTTTCTGAGCAGACTTCATGTCAGAAATAAAACGTATCATCTATTCATTATTCACACATCAAGCCACTCCTGCTGTTGTTACTGGCTACTTTTGCCATTTAGACCACCTGGGAGGTGCCTGCACACCTTTTGCTTTACTGTCACTCTTTTACGAGCTAAATGCAACCACACGAACACTTCGACCCATATGAGACACACGACCAGCCTGTTTTTTCCTGTACACGGCCCTCAGCAGGAAATGAAGCCGCTGTTATCAGTGCCGTTAAGGAGAAGCTGTGACTTGCGGTCTCAGCCTATTCCCTATTCTGCTGTCTAATCTCAGGGGAATCTAAAGTCACTGAACCACAAACCACATCACAGTCTGCTGACTGCAGCACTCAAAAGCTGCTGTTTAAAGGTCGGAGTTAGAAACGTACGCCACTGCTGCTTCTCAACGCCAGCCGTGATCAGAGATCCAAATATGACGAGCTAATTATGGTCGACAAACACAAAGCCGTTGTTGCAGCGTACTTACCTACTGATGCATAAGAAACTATCAGCACACTCATAGTTTTAAATCGGGCACTAGCTCACCGTTTCTTCATACAGCAGCTGTCTTTAAAAACAGGTAACCGTGAATATGAGATGATGGAGATGGTTTTTATGTATATGACATATAGTCTGATTTTATACCCATAAATCCATCTACATTTATTACAAGACTTAACTGATGTATCCTATTAAAGATATACTGGCAAGCTAGGTTAATCCTCCTGTTACTGCACCTTTACCAGGGTACAGGTGGAGTACAGCTGGAGTTTGTCCTGTGGTGCTGCACTGCTCTTGTTCTGTTCATGCAAAAAAAAAAAAAAAAAAAAACAACCCAAAACTTCCAACAAACACCCTGCATGCAACAAAGCCTGTTCACCCACGGTTGGTCAACAGAAACTGGACAGTTTAGTACAGTTTTCCTAACAGCTGGATCTCGACAGGAACAACAAAGTGAGATCTGCAATGTGGATGTTGGTTATTGCTGACACGCCGCGTACTAATTTTACCTTGACAGTGCTGATGAGCTGGCCGTCGATGTACAGCGTGGCCATGCTATTCTTCAGCATGCCTTTGCTCATGACCAGCACCAGGTGGTGCCACTGGCCCTCGGCGATCAGCTCGCCACAGCGGAATCGAGCGCAGCAGGGAAGGATCTCGTAGAAGGAGGCTTCTTCGCTAGAATCATCCGCTGCTTGATGGGGGAAGGCAGAGAGAAGCAGGGGGCAACATCAATGAGCCAGAGAGCTCCAGCAGAAGTGAGTACATTAGCTCAGGCTTAAAGCCCCAGAGAGGAAGCCTGTTTGGTCGTAACAGGAAGTGCACATTTCTCCCACTTGCTCTCTGTAACACTGGAAAGGTCATATTTATCAAATATAATCTCTAAACAAAACTGTATCAGCATTTTAAACTCAAATATCTAACAGAAAGTTTTAATTTCTTCTCTTGGAATATATCCTGTATGAAAGTGCATCATCCCAAAAACAAAAAAGTAATGGCTTTTGGCATACAAGCTTGAGATTTCACAGATTTGAGATAATAATTTTCTCCTGATGGTTCACCAAAAAGAATCTTGAAGCATAGACAAAGTATAGAGGTCTAGAGGATGGTTGTGCAGCGGAGGATTATTAATTCTTGTGGTTATGCTGCAAACCGGAGTTTAAGTCTAGTGCTGCCACTTACAGTATGTCTGCAGCAGCTCCTCCTTGGTGGAGACAGTGAGCGAGCGGTCTTTGGCTGACAGCACCACAGCCAGGCACACATAATGCTGCTCCGAGGAGTTGGCCCGACGGACGATGGTCAGCAGCCGCACCGGGTGGGCCTGAGGGGATGTGCTGAACCTCTCCACGCAGAACCAAGTGGAGTAACTCAGGCCTGATGGGGGAGGAAACAGGCGCTCGCCTGGGTAAGGAAGGGGGGAGTGAGAAAAGACAGAGGTTTATTTGTTTTTATTCATATAAATATATATATATTTTAAAAAATTCACAATTATTTTTATCTCAATGCTTTACATATTAAATCCATCCATCCATAATAGATGGGTCCACATTGTGGGGCAAACAGACAGGCCTCTCCCCAGTCAACATCTCCAGTTCTTCAGGAAGGCCACAGAGGTGTTCCCAGCCACTGGAGACACGTAGCCTCTGAAGTGTATCCCGAGTCTTCCCCTGGGCTTCCTCGCCACGTGACCTGCTCAACAGGTGAGCTGACTGAAATATCTCCACTCGTCCTGCTATGAGCCCACTTGTCAATGTAGATTGACCAGAGTGTGAAAGCAACACAGTGAATTGACTGTATTGCTTTCAGCTCTTCTCTTTTTCTCATGCATCATAACACATTTACTCGGGGCCATGATACCTACATCTATGTAAACATCGCTAGTGGCTCAACAGACTGTTTTAAGAAAGACGTAAAGCTTCGGGGACCAAAACTGAGCTTTCATCAGTTTGTGATCAAAGACATTTTCGTCACTTTACATATTTTTTGGACAGATTGTTTGTTCTCGTCTCGCCAGTCCAGAAAACTAGAAACTGAATTATTGTAGGCTTGATTTTTCTGTCCTTTCATCTTTTATTATTTCTGATCTTAAATGTTGTGTTTTCTTGCATTTATTAATGCGACATACTGCAAACAGCTAACCTATTTGACTCATCTTATCACACCTATGAAAAAATGCTCTTATTTCTCTTCTGAGTCATTCTCCATATTTTCCTGGTGCAGATTTGCATTCTGCAAACGTTTGTTTTGCTTCGGTGCTTTATCTGTGCCAAATACACCACATTAAATTATGCCATGTTTATGTATGATCAGCCAGAGCTGCAGAACAGCACACCGAGGGTGTAGGAAAGATTTCAATTCAGCCTCCGGGTGTAGATCGAGGTGTGCAGTAGCTCGCATTACCATTAAAACGAGCTAAAACTTTGACGTAAGCTGCCAAAACATGAAGGCAGTACTCTGTCGTGCAGATTGGTTAGAAAAGATCTCAGAGTCTGTGGCTCGGGATGAGGTTGTCACTCAAATGGTTATCAGACTTGACCAAATAATGGGGCTGTCTGTGGACTCCATCACAAACTGTAGAAAACTGGTTTGAGGGATTACATCTAATTCTTATGCATATCAATTTACACTTGGTGCAACATTGTTGTTGTGAGCAGAATGACGATATTTTGATGAATGAGCCTCTGGATGATGTCATTCACAGATACGGGTCGGACCGAAGAGGATGAGGAAAGAGAAGGAAGGAAACAGAGAGGAGACGGGATAGAGATAAATGAGGATATGGAAGGGAAAGTGACAAAGAATGGATAGAATCAGGGCAGGGAAAAGGAGGAAGAATGAAGGAGACTGAGATAAGCAGTGAAAGGGACAGAGAAAAGGAAAATGTGAATGACAGGAAGAAATGAGGGAGGAACGAGTGAGGTCTATAAATAGAGTTGGGTGACTAGCAGGAGAAGACGAGAGCAGAGCAGTGTGGGGTGGATGAGCACAGAAGGAGCGGCATGAATAGGTAAACAGATGGAGGAACGATAGTCATGTATGAGTGGATGGAGAGGAGGGTGGACTGGGAGGAAGAGGAGAAAGGAGAGTCTAGCTGTGCTTCATAAATACTAAATGAGGCTACACACTAAAAATTCAAGCGCAACATCGCAGACAGTTTATATGATAAAATCTATTCTGTAAAATATCAATATTGTTTATGAGGTTTTTCATAACAAACACATTTTATTTTTAACACACTAAAACTAACGGCTCAAGGACAGGTGAGGTCTGAAGCTCCAGATATGCAGACATGTGTTTTTGCATAAAAAACGAAAAATGATGAAAACAGAAGAAAAAAGATCAAAAGCAAAAGAAATCCAAAGAGGTTTTGCAAAAACACACAGCTGCTTTAAAGAAAAGGAAGGAGAGTGGGAATAAAGATGATGGCAAAATGGAGAAAACAACAACGAGGCCGACGGAACATAAACAGAAAAAACGAGACGAAGCGGCAGACGCGGTGATCCGAGTGGGATGTGTGTCGTTAAAAATTAAACACCAAGCAAAAAAGGGAAATGCACAAAGAGTTTTTGTGTACCTGTGGGCTAAAAATGAAATTAGGTGGGATGAAACACAGGAATCTATTCTTACTCATCAATTGAAAACGCTTGTTTTAAGGGGCGGCTGTGGCTCAGGAGGTGTAGCAGGTCATTTACTAATCTACTAATCAGGAGGCTGGTGGTTCAATCCCAGTGTGCATGCCAAAGAACCAGTCAATTTACTATTTCTGAAACAACAGAAATGAACAAGCCAACAGGATAAAGGACAAAAACGTATCATAAATGAACTTAGAGTCATTTGCAAGAAGTGAAATCCAACGAGCAGCACTCGAATGCTCTGCTTTACACAGTTTCCTGTTGCTTCTTTTCATGAGAGAGGACTGAACGAAGAGTGGAGCTGACGCACTGACACACCATGACTGATCTACTTTGATGTGACATGTTCTCACAAAGACACAGATGAAGGTTTGTGGATATGATTACAGCTAAAGACCGCTGACTCTTCTGCTAAATTCTCACTTCCTCCCCACATCGGATGCACCGTATTTCCTCTAATAAAAACTGGCAGTTAATTAAAAGCAACAAAGGCCTTCATGCCACAAACAAAGGCCATCCATAGCTTAACTGTTTACACATTAACCTAACAAGCGAACGATCCCCGACTCTATCCCACGAGAAGACGCAAATCCCTTAGGGGTTGCATCAGGACACCTCTGTCAAATCAAACATGCAGAGTTGCCCGCTGTGGTGACCCCGGGTGAATAAGGGAGCAGCTGAAAGGAGCTCTACAGAGTGACCAAAAAAATCCACAAAGGTGCATAAAGTGGTTACACAATAATGGATTGGATTTATATAGCGCTTTTCAAGGCGGTAGGGTAAAGTGCACCCTTGCCCAAAGACACAACGACCAGGACAGAGAGCCCGGGGATCGAACCGGCGACCTTCCGGTTACAGATACGCTTCCCAACCCCCTGAGCCACGGTCGCCCCAATGTGTCAGCCAGTTTTATAAAATAGACTCGACATTATAATAAAGCAGTTCTTCTGTCTCATTGATCCAGTCTCTGTTTTGCTGTGTCCAATGCAAAGCTGTAAATGTGAAACCACTGCACTCAAAAGGAGGCTTTGCCCTCATTTAATTGAAGAATTATGACAGAAGACCTGCGTATAATAAAGCTTTGTTACCTTCTGATGTGATAAAAACATTTCAGCATCAAAGAACCATTCACTGTTTAAAAGCAGTTTATTGCATGTCAGTTTTAAAAAGTCTTTATTATTTTTACTTGTCACTGCAGGAAAGCACCGGTGGAGTTAATGGTGCCAAAGTTTAATGCAGAACAGACAAAAACTGCAGTTCCCCTTGGTGTGTGGTGAATCCGTCCCACAGACTTCCATGTTAAAAAGCCAGTTTAACAGCATGAAAGCATGTTTACAGCCTGCCACAGAAACATTTGGGGCCTCGATGGATAGTTTCTCCCTTCATAGCAACTGTAACTTGGATACCGTCAAACCTCCAAGTTTTAACACTTCTGAAAGGCTGCTTCCTAATCCTGTCAGTCAGGCGACCTTTGCTTTGTTTGTGGCAATGATCATTTTCTGCTTACGTGCAGCAAAGACAAACAGTCAGCACATTAAGCATGTGACTTTTCTGCTTTTCACCATTTTTATAAAAGCAAATCCATTACTACTCTGTCCTTTGGTTATTGTAAGGGCTAGAATTAGTTATGTCACTGACCTTTATGTTGCAGCTTCAAAGTGTAGCTCGGTGGGCCGCTGTGCCTGGTTAACCTATAAAATCAGCCTCCACGTTCATGCTAGCAGATACCCCGAGGCCCAACCAGTCGGTGACCTTTGTGCTACAGTAAATGGAATCTGACCCAGCACAATGATCTATTTTTACCTGTGCCCATCCCGCTCAGCACTGCTCCGTCGCTGACACCTGAAGCATTGGTGTTGTTGGTGGGGGCGTTGTGAGGCGCCAGGCTGGGCAGGAACAGGCACCTGCACGGGACAAGAAGAGGACAGATTAACGGCTGCTATCTGGGGAAACGGCCGTGACAGACACAAGACACGTCAACAGCTTGCACGCGCATTTGTTGCGCGAGAGATTTACTGCGCGTTTGCTGAATGTCCGCTCCAGTCTGGCTCCATCGCTTAGGTAAACTGTTAGAAAAATTCCTCCCAACTTCCAGAAAACAGTATGGTAATTCACACGCTTCAAAACACAAGCTTCATGTTATAATATGGAAATTTTGAGCTGCCTAATACTCGCGGATTAATTATGTATGAGAAGGAGATAGAGGTGGGATGAAAGCGCACATTCAGAATCATTTTTCAAAGGAAATCTGCTCAAAGTCAGCTGCAGCCCCCCTGCACTCGCTAAGGTTGGTGCTGATAGTGATGATAGTGATGATAATATTCCAATTAATTGTCAAAAAAACAGGGTGATGCCTGCACAGTGAGACCACATACACAACTCCTCAGTAAGCTCGAGTCTGATGTCTGTATGCACTGTCGTCCACTTTCTCAAGGACTTCTGCAGACAAAGGCTGGCAATCATTCGACAGAATTACAAAGATTTTTCTTTGTGAGTTGGCGTTGCGTTCTGCTGACTCACTGCCCCTCGGTGAAGGTGCCATTTTCTCCTCTCTAATCATCCTGAACCAGTACTGAAGACACTGGTGCTCTGGGAAATGAACAGGAGGATTTGGGGTTTTTTCCCTCTTCAGGGGAGACAAAGAAGTCCTTAGAGTGTGTCAAGGCCAATTCATCCAGAAACCTGACAGATTTAAACTGAGCTGCACTGGAGGACACTGCAAAAAGCCCAATTAAAATAACTGTAAATCTGCAGTATTTCACTGTAAAGTAAAATAAATGTAAATCTGTGGAAACCCAGTTAAAATAGCTGGAAAGCCAAATTAAAACTGCAAATTTGTAGTTATTTACTACACTTTTACTATTTTACTACAGATTTACAGTTCTTTCACTATAAAGTAAAATAACTGTAAATCTTCCGTACAATAATAAACAACAGAATAACTGTATTATAAAACTCAATTTCTCTTACAGATGTGCAGGTATTCCAGTTTTACAGTTATTTGACTGCAAAGTAAAAACTGTTATTTTGTTGCAAATTTACTTTTTTTTTTAGTGGAAACTACAAAACTGCAGCAGACATATAGAACTGCATAGATGCAAATATAGGATCAGTCTCATCTTTATGAAGCATAGATCGTAAACCAAAGATGCCATTGTTACATCACCCATCTGAGCTTATTAATGCGACCTTAATAAGGTCACATTGTTAAGCTCAGTGAGGGAGAAACTGAGGAACGGTGAGCACTACTGTCAGCTACAAACACCAAACTAAACTCTGATTTCTTGTCCTTTTTTGTTTTAATGGGAACTATTCACACACAAAAAACTAAATGTTGTATTCAATAAGACTTTAAACTAATGATCAACACCATAAACTCATCAGGAAAGTGTTCACCAAGGAATTGAGGGCTGTTTTCTCGACTTCTTTTTCTGCAGCAAGAGGAATTGCTCTCTGCTGCCCATTTAATTAAATCCAACTTTAGGGCACTTCTGCATTGTGTAAACTTTTTAGATGTGGGATACATCCATCTTTGGGACATGTATGTGTTTTTCTAATATAAAAGCAGTTCAAACCACCTCACTGCAATCCCAAAGTTTTAAAATTAAAACCGAGAGCAAAGCTTGACTGATTTATTTCTGTACTTCTGTCTTTAAAAGAAAGATGACTTACCGCAACTCAGAGGAAATGAACATCGATTCTAACAGCTGTTTTTATGCTGATAAGCACAAATCAATCCATGCACTCAAACGGTGAGGCCAGTGTCACCAGGTATTTACGTATTCTTCTTCTTTAATATAAGTTCATTGTTTTTCAGTGGCAGCAGTAACGTGTAATGGGATAAAGTACAGACTGGCTCAAACTGGATACGGCCGTATGAGTTTCTGGAAACCCAAAACAGTTGTCTCATTTTTCATGAGATTTATTAATGATAATGGGTAAAACTGGACTACACAAGCAATGTGAGCATCTCCTTTTATCTTGACATAACTGTAACAGTCACACATAAAACCTTCATTTTTATTTGTTCGCCACAAATTCTGCATTTTAATAGCCACAGTCACTGAGCCCACAATGACCTGGTTTTTTTCCACCTCCTCATCTTCTTTTTCCACCTGGACAGGAAGGTCAGAGGTCAGGGGTAGCTAAAGAACACCCTCCCAGAGGCTGGCAGGGATTCAATAAATTTTTATCAAGGACACTTCTCAAGGACAGAGTCACTGCGCTGGGCCCCAGTTTAACAGACAGCCTGTCAAACTAACAAGTACACCGCCCTGCTGCCTCAGAGTAACTACATGTAGCTGTCTCTTTCATCACCCCAGGTTAGGTTATTAAAAAGACAAAGAAGAAAAAAAAAGCACAGCAGGGATTTCACCGGCACGTTATGCTAATTTATCTTCTTCCAGCGAATGTTTTCTCTTTAATTCTTTTAAAAAAATGAAATAAAAAATGTTTCCTCCACCCTTAACCGTCAAGACTGAATCTTCCTGGCCTCATGTGGGTGAGTGTGCATCCATGTGTCCGGCTCTGTGTAAAACTGTTGTGTGTTATAGAGAGTGCGTCTGTGTATGAGAGTCCTAATAGCAGCAGAGGCATCAATATTTCATGTTGACAGATGGGAGAGAAAGGAGGGGCCATCTCTCTCTGGATGTATGGGTGTGCGTCGTGTGTCTCCTCCTCTGGTTAGCAGAAAGTGGGCCACTGCCTCGTTGCCTGTGTGCTGCTGCTGCTTTGCTGCGTTTTCAGGAGAAACTCCATGTTTTATTCTGAGCTGGCTGCTGTGATGAGTCGCACAGGTTCTTCTGAGTAAAGGAAACAGCAAAGCTAAGAAAGTGCGATCGCTCGGAGGGGGAGGGATTTTTCAAAAGCAGTAGATAAAAAGCAACTGAATCACACGCTCGATTCCTGACAATCTCAGGAAGTTTTGACACTACAAGAGGCTTCTTGGAGTTGGTGCACACTTTTTAAAGAGCTTAAAACATGTTTTTAAAACTAAAGAGTTTTTAGAGCATTTCTGAGAGCTAAACAAAGACTAGACTGGATTCCTCCTGTCGTGTAAAGACGGGTTCATTAGTTAAACTAATCATTTTAAATTTGCTGTAAGTGTGGATGTGAGAGTGTCGGTTGTCTGTCCATAGTATAACTCACATTTCATCCTATATCATCTGGGACAGACTTCAGTTAAGTAAGGCAGCACAGACTTCTCGCTTTAATGCAGACTGACTGTGGTCACGTGCAGTCACCCTTCAAAAAGGACCAATCTGAGCCAAGAAAAGCCTGTGAAATAAAAGCTCATCTGTGCCACAACTGAATACTTTCACATGTTCTGAGATAGGAATTTGCCTTAAATAAAGGTGGTTAAAAACATATAGTCAGGGGGCCAGAAACAGGCCGCTGAATGGTTTTGCAAAATTGTAGAAAATATATTAACAGTATAATATTTTATACAATTAATAACTTATTCATACTTCTGGTGTGGTGATGCTGGCACTGCTACAGACAACTAGAGTGGAAAGATGAATTTTCAGATCCTGTTTGACACACTTACACAAATGTTTGATCTGGAGACTGGTGCTGTCTTATTGTGTGTAGTACTGACATCACTGCGGTCCTCAGTGTACATGCTGGTGTAAAAACAGGTGGTTAAATCGCATGGCAACCAAGGGCCTGAAAAAGTGCTGGATGTCAGTTTGTTGCTTCCACTTGCTGTTTGTTATGTTACAGGCTGAGTCACTGACACGGGATGTTTTGTGCAAATTTAGATATTTGGTCTGCTAAGCTTGCATTTTTTCGTCAGGGTAAAGAGAATCTCACTGCAGTTTTTTTTTAAATCAAGTCTAGTCTTACAAAAGACTGAAGGACCCTGGGTGCAGAAATGCAAACTGAATGAATATACACGTTTCCCCAGCCTCGGCCATCTAATAATTCGGTGCAGTTGGCTCACAGTAACCAACCTGACAGAAAACCTCTACTATGATCTTCTGCAAGATGCACTTATGAATATTCATGAAGAATGTAACACATCACAACTGCGTCTCAGCTCAACATGTCCACAAAAGCATGGGGGCGAAGTGTTGAGGTCACAGCCCACACACCGTCTTCTGACCCCCGCGCTGACTGTGGTGCTAACACACAACACAAACCGGGGGGTGCAGCGGGCGGCGTCAGCCGCGGCACAAAGAGCAGCCGAGGGCTCCGTGTGACATAAAAGGCGGAAAATAAGCCTATTTGTATGCACAGCTCCACAACTGGAGGCGAATAACAGGCTCCTGCTGAGACAGTAGCAGGTACTGCTAAGAGACACTCACACACAACCTGTTTAGGGCGGGGGAAAATAACGTTACATCTTCAGGCGTGTTTCACTGGCGAGGAAAATTGATCCGCAAAGAGATTTAGGGCGAAAATGGTTTACAAAAGAATGGGCACCATCTGTTACTCCACCCGTAAGGACAGGAAAAGTTACAGGAAGTTTTTATGCTTTATATACATCGTATATCTTATAAGAGTATCCAATCACGGGAGTGCACGTTAGATTTTTCTGATGAAAAATAACTGTAAGAATCAAGTCTGCCACTCTTATATGGATATAAAACATTTACAAGTTATACTTCTTTATATACAGATTTGTTTCCATAAAGGCATCAGTATTTTCCAAAATGTACACCAAAGTTTGTCCCGCTCCTTAAGTCTGAAAGAGATTGTCACATTAATATAATTTTTAATTTAATAAGGACTGAAATGTAGAAAGGTAATGAACAGAATAGCTGTTGCCTCTGTGTTGCAGGGCACATGTTTACAGGAGCATGTTTTGGTTTCATAGCTGCATTAATGTCAAGTTGATATATACTTTGCAAGCAGCTGTCACAAACATATCAATTCTGTCTCCTGATATCCAAGATAAGCCAAGTTTGGTCAGGTTAGAATCCCCCAGAACTTAATCATGAGACATCCTGTGTGGCAACGTCAGAAATCCAGTGTGTTAAAGACACATGTTAGCATTTTTGAACTGGGCCTCAGAAATGAAAGGTCACAAAGAACCGGGTAACAAAGGTCTCATCTGAATAATGTTACATTGTTGCAAATATCATAATCAAAAATATAACCATTACTGCATACGACTGGAAAACCAAATGCACTTAAGGTCTGTTAACCATAACTTACCCAAAGCCCTCCAGCGAGCTGTCAAACTCCACGAATGCAGGTGTAACAGCTGATCCGTGCAGGCGAATGTCATGGGGGGTTGTCATCGACACCAGGCACTTGACTCGGGTGAGGGGTACGGTGCTGCCCTCAGCGGAGCGCACGAGGCTGCGGCTGATGCGATACTGGCCATTGTCCTCCGCCGGCGTGGTGAAGACGCTGTCGGGGCCGAAGCCCTCCATGGAAGTGGTCATGCTGTCTGTGAGATTAAGAAGGCGTGGTTAGAGTCAAGACATGCAAGATCCACGATTCAGGACTGAAAGGTGGCTCCTGTTTGGTTAGCTATTCAAATCAATAACATTTTTTTTATAAAGCAGCACGGTGGCACGGTGGTTAGCACTGTTGCCGCACAGCAAGAAGGTCCTGAGTTCAATTCCACCATCAGGCCGGGGTCTTTCTGTGTGGAGTTTGCATGTTCTCCCCGTGTTTGCGTGGGTTCTCTCCGGGTACTCCGGCTTCCTCCCACCGTCCAAAGACATGCAGCTTGTGGGGATAGGTTAATTGGATAATACAAATTGCCACTAGGTGTGAATGTGCGTGTGAATGGTTGTCTGTCCCTGTGTGTTAGTCCTGCGACAGACTGGCGACCTGTCCAGGGTGTACCCTGCCTCTCGCCCCATGACAGCTGGGATAGGCTCCAGCGCCCCCCGCGACCCTGAAAAGGATAAGCGGAAGCGAATGGATGGATGGATGGCATCAAATGACAAGAACCGTCGCCTCAGGACGCTTATTAGTCTTACTTTACTTTTTAATTCATGACATTCAAAAGCAGAAAAATGTAATTGTGAAACGTGCAAAGTTTTCTAGTTCTGTGTCAGTTCCTTCACTTTGTACAACACATACAGTATCACGCAGCTGTTTGTCTTGCTGAAGACACCTCTATTTAAAGCAGATGACCTGTGATGACATATGTGGACCCTGCCTGTGAATAGACACTCCTGTCATTTTGGTATGAGTCACAAACCGAAGCAAGTCTGTCCACAGGGGTGAAGTTTCTCTGTGAGACCAGCATGAGGAATGCCCCGTCTACCTGGAGACTGTCCACGGTATGAGAGGGTTGACTTAACCCAAAGTTTTGTAGGTAGAGCTGTGAAAGACTGCTGTTGCTTGGCATTTCTCTTTCCTCTCAGAGTCTAAGGACGCAGATTCATGCGAGTCCAAAGTCAAGAAGTATTCAGCCGATGACCCAGCAAACAGCTGAGTAAACACATGGAGTATGTTGATGGGTTAAGCCAAGCGTGAGCCATAACCATGTGAGGCACGAGCCAACTTGCAGCCTCAGCTGCATGCTCACCAGGACGACGATGACATGCAGGACCGGACATTCATGGATAGTTGGTAGATAGCGTGTGAACCAGCCTGTCACCGCTGCTGCTGTGCGGGCCGGCAAAGACCACATGCCTCCCTTTTCCCTCTTTCACTATGCAACGAAAAGGTTGCAGGTGGAGCAGCCCTCCCCTCTGCCAGCTCAGAAACCGTCACAGTTCGAGCTTTTCATAAGCTCAGAGCCACAACAATCAAAATCCACCTGCCCATGTTCCCAGATTTTGTCTCCAAGCTAATGGCTTCACAGAGCAAACCACTACCACATCACTGTGCCCACCTATGGACCCTGTCTGCAGCTGGACGCCAGGTTCAACTTGTCTTTCAGTCCATTTTATGACTCTATAGCTATGAAGTTTCTTTTACATAATACTGGGTTGCTTCGAACAGCCTCTTTGCTGCCTTCAGTAAAGAGAGGGTGACCTTCATGCTTCGTCCGTGCATGCTTCTGGCACACACTTTTCAGCTTCTCACTTTTTGCCCTCATCCTTTTCCATCTGAGGAAGAGATGAACCTTCGTCTGTGTGTGATGTGAATCTACACTGACCACACTCAGAATGTGTGTTTATGTGGCCAAGCTGTTTAACTGCTGTAATAATCCAGCCAGAGATAAAACTCTGCCTAAGCAGAGGCTCTCCAACTGGATTATGGAGGCTATCTTCCCAGCATCTCACAGAACCAAAGGTCTCTCTTTGCCTCAGGGTGTGAGCGCATCAGGGGATTGGAAACCTCATGTGCCCCATTTAAAGGGGTCCCTGTGAGTGATATCTGTGCTGCAGCTAGTTGGCCATCACCACACACTTTTGTTCTGGTTCAGTGACAACTCTGGGGGCATTTATACATCCCTTCCATACTGTATGTGTGCTACCAAGTGAATCAACTGAAAGCAAACAGCTTCTGTTCCCTGAAGCAGAGGAACGAGGTACAAGACAAAGTCTCCCCACTGAGAAGCTGGGCTCAGTCAGGAGCGTTTATCAAACTGAGGGACGTATATGTGCAGGAGGGGCCTCAAATATGTCATTACAGGTCATGTGGCTTAAAGCTGTGGTTCAAAGGTGTCTTCAGCTGGCACATGCAGGGACGTCATATTCCACACTGTACGTACTGCATGTTGTTCCTCTTCTTCAGGGAACCAGACTACAGTCATAACGTTTTGTTCTAAAGTCAGAAACCTTATTGACCTGTTAAACTGTAAAGAATGAGGCCAAGAATTAACATGACCTTCCCTACATATAAGAAGGTCTTAATGGAAAGATAATACAACACTTCAAGATAGTTAAGTTTAAATTCGGCTATTACAAGTATCAAAATCAAACTTTAAAAAAAATCCTTAAACCTTAAAAATAGCCTCATTTTAAAACCCCGGAGCAGAAAAATATATGTTTTTTCCTCACTATAGAGGCAAATGTGTAGTCGGAAACCCAAAAGAAATACAAATGAACTTTTTACTCTTAGTTTAAAGCAGCTTGTTTCATCTCCCCATCTAACAGTGGTTTCTCTACTGTCCTAAAAATGTCTTGACAGAATTCCAGCACTTCAAATTTTGCATTTGTTTATTCAAAATAACATTTATTTTCCAATTAGATTAGATTCAGAGAGAGTGGTAAAAACCCCTCACAGCTTGGTCCGCCCATGAAAACTCCCACAGCACTGAAAACACCGACTGTGAGTAGGCCACATTAAATCAAAGCTGGATTTTCATCGCCCCAGAAGGGCGATAATAACGTCCCGCGCTAAGGTAACATATTTCACCTTCTATTGAGAACATGGGTCGTCTCATTTCTAAAGAGTCAGCAGATGTGACAAAGACGAATTGGATGAAAGCAAGAATTACAACAGCCATCAATGGCAGCTAATAAACCAGACTCTTCTCACAGAGAAAGATGGCAATATGTGCTCTCCCAGTGGCTGTCTGTAAAGAGGAGTAATTACTGGGGCCTTGATATCCATTCTCAGCTGGGAGGAGACACAATAAGCAATTAAGACATGCTGAGAAGCCCAGAAAATTACAAACATTAGCAGCTGTTGATGGAAAACAAGCCATTTGCATTACATTCACAGAGGCGAGCCGATCTTTGTTTAAACATGGAGTTTACACGTCGCTTTAATCAGTGGACAAGAAGACCGCTCTAACAACTTCCTGCTTCCAAAAAGCAACGAAATGAAAAGCAGCTAAAGCACGTTGAAATGACGCCACGTGCTAATTAGTGTATCTGTAAGTCCTCGAGTCATAGCTGCATTCTGTCTACTGTCAGCTGCTGTCTGAATATATATAACATATAAATAACCATTACAGGAAGATTTAATTGGTAGGAGGGGTGTTCATCTGTGTCGCCATATTAACCATTTGATACTCAGGGTTCACGCCGCTTCTCAGCCTGTGACAGCTGGGATCAACTACGGCGCTCACAAGATCCCAAACTGGATAAGCGGCTAACAACACGGATGCAAGGAAGGACACCTGATTAGGTTTGCCTTCTATCTTCGATCCGGCACGGAAACGAGGAGCTCTGGATAAATTGTAAAGTTCATACGTAATTAATTCCGATTGTTCCTCCGACCACTCTGAAAGCACACGGACCATCTGAGCATTTTAATCTGGCGTTAAGGAACTAAGCAAAGCTCATACTCTAACATCAGATGTTATTCTTTGGGGAATTCATCATAGAGCAAAGAAAAGATGATTCTCCTTTTTTTTTTTTAAAGCTTTTGTTAAAAAATAAATAAATAAAAATGACACTTTCTCCCAGGAGAAGCCTGCATCACAACGGCAGATGGGAATCGCTCCCAGGTGGCACATCCTTTATAGCTGCACTTGGAAGGCTGCTGTGAAAAGAGCTCTTCAATTCTCAGCTATTACAAAGTGAGAATTTTCCCTGTGTCGGTATAAGAAACTATATTTGTTCGACTAATACCAAAGAACGTTGTGTGATAGGTGATAAAACAGAATCACAGAGGTTTCTAAGGTGGTTACCTTTTAGTCGGCACTATAATAATACGTTTGAGGCCTGTAACCCAACTATAACAAATACTTATGCAGGCAGTTTAATACTTTATCCTGGGATAGATTCTGTGTGGATGCAGTGTGTGTAGTTGGTATGATCCAGTCTATGCATTTGGTAAGTGTAACCGACTGACAGCTGATAAGAACACCAAAACCTGACTTGTGTTTTATTTAATATCTCTGACAAAAAACACTTGTAGGAATATTTCGCCGGAGATCTGTGGAACAGTGAGTACAATGATCGAATATTACAATCTTACTTCTCATCTCGGCGTCGTAGCTGAGAGAGCTCGGTTTGTGGACCCGGTAGTTCTTCAACAGCTTCTTGTCCCAGGCGCCACAGTTCAGCGGGTTCCCGAGCCGTAAGAACTCCCTGAAGGGGAAGATAAGCAGGAAGTCAGGAATAAAGAAAGAACAAAGAAAAAACAATTAGGCCAGTATCACTGCTGAACTTCCTTTATTTCAGTTTAATTAACCTTATTTAAGTAGCGCTCCTGTTTTAAAATAACCTCAGCCTTTGTTTCCCTCCCACTGTTACTGAAAATCCAAAAGTCCTTTCAGTGGCTTTAAGAAGAGCGCCTTTGTTTAGGCGAGGAACTAAACTAAAGCTTGCCTTCACACTTCAATCATCCTATTAACAACATGTGGAAGGAGGAAGTGAGCATGCATTTGGCTCGGCATCAACACGGAGGTGTTTTTCAAAAGTGATTACTTCTATACCCAAATGCACATTTTGCAGATACGCTCCCTAATATGCACATAGATGGTCCTCAGCCATAAACCTTCCCAGAAATGAAAGGTACAAACTGGTGTCCAAACTTTTGCCATTAAGGATGCAGAAATCTTTTAAATATAGTACCTGGGCCGTGCTTGTGTAAAGCATGAGCCTATTGTACTCTTTTAGGCGCATTCCTGTTTTTCAGTGACACTATTACATAACCAATTAAAAACAACTGCCGGGTTTAGTCGTTGCACTCCCACAGGGTCCCCCTGCCATACTATGTCCTTTATGTTCTCATTAAGCAGTGAAGCACATCCTAATTGGATGCAGTTTGTTAAGTCAGCAGTTACTTCCACTCCTCAAAAAGCTGAGGTTTACAGCATTTTCAGTCTGTTTCAAAGTCAGTGACATGGTTGACCGGCATGTAAGTGACATGAATGCAAAGTGTTGCTGTGATTGTTTGCGTCTGCTGTCAGAGCGCTCGATGTGCGACACCAGCGGCTGGAAGCAGACGATATCAGAGCGGCACCGAGGAGGCAGAAAGACTCTGGAGCTTTGCTGCTGGCTGATGTTGACAGAGCAGAAACAAAATAAAAATGGGAAGAAGAAAAAAATAAGAGGAGTGGAAATATGAAGGGTAGGCCTGACAGGGAGGGGGGGGAATGAAGGGAAGGATGGGGAACAGGCTGACAGACAGCGATACGTGTACCCCCAGCATAATTACAGCTGGAGGGAGAGAATGTGAGCCAGGCAGGCCGCATTAACATATGAAAACAACCAACCATGTGCATGTCAAATAACTTTCAGTCTTGTCCCTCAACCCCAATCTCCCATCTCACGTAACAAGTCAAGCGGGAAATGAGAATCACTCCGTTTTGCCTGCATATAAAATCCGTCTTCATTCAGTGAAACCCGACAATGCAAATGCACATTAGCATGATAAAAAAAACAAAACTGCTTTCCATGAACAAAATGATTTTGTTCATAAAATATTATTTGCTCCAAGCTCAGGTCTGTGCAGAAAAGTCCAGACAAACACTTTAATGTTTAAAAAACCCTGAATGTGAGGTATTACATCTCTTCATTGTTCTCAGGTTTTTGTGGGTCTGTCCTTTGGTTTCTTATTTACTGGTTAAATGGAGTAAAAAAAAAAAAAACTAAAACCAGACTAAAACCAATTTAAAAAACCAGCTACAACCAAGAAACAGCTGAACGTCAACTTTCCCTGAACTTTAAACTGCACGCTGGGATGTTAATACTGACAATGGCACAGTTTCATTTTATATCAATATGACTTTAAGGCTTTCTTTTTCTTCATGTGGAAATAATAACCCGGACCGATATTTGGTTATGAATGAGATTTAGATCCCTCCTCCGTCTAACAGTTATGGACAGTGATGGACCTCCATAAAGCAAAGTAACGCACTGCCTTTACTTTTTTGCCTCTAATACTTTATATATCTTACTTCACCACAGATAAATCTTTTTCATGTGATGCATTTGTTCACTATTTAAACCTGGTTGCTGATTCTGTTCCATCAGCAGTAAAGTACCTCATGAAACGGTGCGCATCAGAGGTTTATTGTGCTTAGAATTAAGAGTCTGAGAGAAAGCCTCATAAAGATTTGGGTTTGATGTAATGTTGGTTAAGGGGGTCTGAGGTTGGGTTTAAGGTTGTAGTATAAATAGTAATTAGTTAGACTAATAATTCATATTTTATTAATATAGAAGATGTTGATTGGCTCCAGCTGGGACTGCATTCTTTGATCTGGAAAAAGACAGGCTGTGTCAGAGTAAACGGACTGTGCAGGTGTCAGCTGGTGATAGCACTGCTGATGTTAGCCTGACTCACCTATTCTGACCTTGTGTGTTTCTGTGATGTTAGTCAAGGATTTCATCTGAAACTTCATTTAGATTTTCAAAAAAAAAAAAAAAAAAAGAATAATAGTTAAAATATTTGTTTGAGTTGTCTTGCTTTTATGCTTTTCTTATTTTAATCTCTTTATTATCATCTGAAACAGTCATTGTTGGGGCAGCATTTCAGTGTTGAAGCCTCTCAGTTTAGGTTTGTTGGTGCCTACATCATGTTATCAACATGGCCAGCTTCAGTACCTGAGTGCTATCGGCTGCAGGGCCTGCGAGGCCAGCCTCTCGAACATCCTCTGCAGCGGCGGGTGCAGAGGGTGGTCTTCATCGCTGAGGGCCTGGCTGCAGCGCTGCAACAGTCGCTGATGGTGGCAGGCTTCACACAACACCTGCTGGTTCCTCTCGCTGTTCACCAGGAGCTGCAGGATGTTGGCGACTGCCAGCTGCAGGTCGAGGGCATGCTGGGAGGAGCAGAAAGTTGGAGAGATAGACGTTAAAACCAAGACTAAGACTTAAGCTTAGTTTAAATCGCCCTGTAAAGAGGCAAAAATAAGCAAAATCAGGTAAATGTGAGAGGGTGCTTTGGGCAATTCACTGATTAGAAAGTTTATTACCTGCATGTAATCATTCAATACGACTGACTTTCCCCTAAAACACACATATGTAGCTGACTCACACTGTCTGGCTGCCGTCTGACGTGAAAAACCCAACTGAAAAAAGGCACTTCCTGCCTGCCATCGAATCCCTTCACCCACTTTGACAGGAAGCACATTGCCTTTCATTTCCTCACCTCTGGCTGGCTGTCAGAGGAGACGGAGGGCAGCAGGTCCACCATGGCCAGCACGGCCCCTGGGTGAATGACCACCATGTCTGTTGAGGACGATGAGGAAATGGGGTGGGAGGAGTTCGTTAAGTGGAGCTTCAGGTCAGTCAGGGCTTTCGCTGGTGCAGGGGGGCCCGACGTGCCGTAGTAACCGTGTCTGGGAGCACAAAGGAAGAGAGGGAAGTCAAAATTGGCTTTTTCAAAGCAAGCTGCATGAAAATATTCACATAACATTTCACACAGAAACAGGTAAAAGGTAAAAAATACTGTGAAAACTTTGCTCCTGTAAATATAAACTTTTCTTTTCATAAAGGATCAGAATGTTGAGTTTTTGGCCACGGAGAAGCCTGATTGTCCCCGTTAATGGAAGTTTGTTTACTCTCTAAACCACTCGAGTCGCAACTGTTTACAACTCCTGCTCTGCTGTAAAATATGTAAGTAGCTCACAAAAACACAAAATCGTATTCATAATCAAAGTCGCAGGACCTTCCAGGGCTCAGGGGGAAACATTGCTCTCCTCCCAACACTGATCAGTGTAAGCATTGTATTTAACACCGACTGTAACTTTAGTCAACACCAGTCGAGTTGTTTGCACACTTCAGAGATCGAGGTGTCAGATGGCTACAGTTCCATCCAAAGCAACAAGCCCCCTACCCTCCACCCCCCACTGTGCAGGCAGCAGAGAGTAGGAGATCTGCAGGGGCCTGCACTCGGGCAATTAGGCAAAATAGGTGCGTTACTGCGATGCAAATCCCTCCTCAGGAGAAATGCAGAGCTGGAAAGGTTAGAGTCAGCATATAAAGCTGGGGGGCAAGAAAATGAACCAGATTGTTGATGTTCACAGCAGCTGGTGGATGCTTCAAACTGTTTTTGGATTCTTCAGAATCGAATCGCTCGTTTAATTGATTATCCGCTGCCGGATAAAACATAAAAATCTCCTTATGTTTGCCTCTTAGTAGTTTCTACCTCGGCTTTGAGTTGCTGATTTATTTCATTATTTGTTCTGATTTCTTTTTGTTTAATCTGTGAAGTTCTCAACTATACATTAGAAAATCATTAAAAGCAGAGTTCGCCTGATTCAGTGATAAATGCAGTGTAATGGAAGCAACATGCTTTAGTAAACGCCAGCTGTGCTGAAGGTGGTTAGAGCTCACACAAGCTACAGAGGAGGAAACCAAGACTAAGCCAGTCAGGTTTCAGGGATTACAAACCTTTATGAGTGCAGGTCATGCCTTAAAGACCTGTTAATATAATATTATCCCAACAGAGTACTTCATTCTCACTCTGCACAATTATTTGTGGTTTCTAAAAGTGGGACGTGAGGCAGAGCTTTCAGTTATCACCCCCTGTCCTCCGTAACCACCCAGACGGGCACCCTCTCTACTTTAAGATTAGGCTTAGGAATCACCCACTTTTCATTTTAAATCAATTTTAATTTTCTTCCATTTCATTTATATGATCGCAACAACAGTTCGCTTAAGACCCCTCATATTGTAAGTTAAAGACACTTGACAACAGCGGGACGGAAAAACTCTTGTTTTACAGGAAGCAGGCTCAGGGAGGGGCGGCCATCCACCGGCTGGCGACGAGGCCTTTATGTAGCATTAACCTCGTCTACTCCTCGTCCTTTTCTCACTCTTTTTTCCTTTCTCTTTTCTCTTTCCCTTCAGCAGATGATATAGGGGATTATTGGAGCTTTTAACTAATAAGGTAAGGTCTTAAACTTGGAGAATAAAGCACCTCGATGTTACTGGTGAGGTGAATTGGTGCTATATTTAAACAAATGAACAGAAAAACTGAATCGGTGCAAACATTATGAATCTGATTTATTCTCACAATGCCTGATTACTGTGGCCCAGGCACCCCTCGTGTTTCCTGTCAGGTGTTTTGTGTAAATGGAGACTTAAAGCTTAAAGTGTAAAATCTTGCTTTATTTTCACGCTGCTGTTTCAGATTTAGCTGGCTCAGCGTGGACACGGTCTAAAAACATGAGGCATCCTAGCGTGCAACTGAAAGAGTTCCTTTTTCAGACTAAAGAACATTAAAAAAACAAGAACAGCTTTTTCATGTCACTGTCATAAACATGATGATCACGGCGCTGATTGCTGCAATTTGCACATCACAATCACCGCCATGTTCTTCAAGGCAAAACTCGCTGTTTGAGCTGAGCAGCAAAATTACACCAGACAAGCTTTTGTTTTTATGGAACAATGAAAAAAATTAAGTATTTAGCAACTTTCTTCATATTATTCAGGCTGCCAAATAAACCTGAGTAAACTGAGGCTTCCGATCATAAACAGACTTGTTGAAACTGAAGTAAAAACACAGGAAGCAACTGCGACGCTATTAAATCCACAAAGAAGATCTGATAATGAAGTGCATTAGCAAGGACGAGTGCCCCATCATCTCTAATTGTCAAATTAGTCCTCCTCATGAATATGCAGTGTTGGAGCCGATCCAGACAGGCGGAGGGGGAGACGTCTGCAGGGGAGAGACCCTCGGCCTCACCTTGACAGCAGAGCACATTTAAAATGTCCTGACCAGTTTTCCCTTTGTAAATGAAATTCAAATAGGAGCAGAGATTGGGTTTTTAGAGAGAGAGGGGCAATTTCAGCAGATAGAAGAGAGGACAGAGGAGCACAGGAGGAATGTGATGAGAAGAAAGACGCACAGTGATTTAGACTGAATCTGTCTGACAGTGTGGAGAAACGTCTCAGCGGGGGTCGCAACAAAATATGAATTCATTTAAAGCAGTTTGTGTATGCAGCTAAGAGCTTGAACTACTGTTTTAGTCATTCTACTACTTTAAATCACCTCCAGTATTAATTTGTTTTTTAAAAAGGTCAAGGCCAACACCCTGTTTCAAAGAAATGAAGCCAGTAACATCTAATCAGGATCTTCTTTTGTCCGTGCTTCATTTTCAGGCTTTCAAATCAGCGTTTACGTGTGAACGAAGAGTCAAAACACACAGAGAAAACTGCATTTACCAAAAAACACATTTTTCTTGCACGACATCACTTACTGCTAAACAGATGACTGTGACTCACTGACTCGTCATTTTCTGTAGATGCTGAAATATCTGCTGCACTCTTTTGGCAGCGAAAATCATAAAGTTTGAATCTGATATAACAGTTTGAGTATGATGTTGTGGATGATCTCTAAGCCTCTGGACACCACAGGTAATATAGTTGTGTCTTTAAAACTACTCATGAATAGTGCTTCATTTTAAAGGCCATATAATATGCTGTTCTTCTTCTCGTCTACCAGAGTAAACCTCTGATGAGTCACGGTTAAAATTATCCTTATTTACTGAGCTCAACAAATTTATCAGACCAGCTGTCGTAAACAGAAGAAAACAAGTATTTTAGGAATCTGTCAAAAACATGTTTCACACTGTCCTCTGAAAAAAGAGAAATTAAGTGTAAATAACTATAATTTGGCATCTTAATAACAAAAAACTAGTTTCGCTTTCTTGTGATTTTTTTTTAAAGATGTAAAAAATTAATGAACAACAACAATAATTATATTTTAGCATTGACGTTCCACATAAACTATTAGAGAATTATAGGGAGTCATCCTGGTAATTACAGCAGTGTTTAGTGCATCTATGGCACAAACCGCACACTTTGTGGTGGTTTAATAAATCGTATACTGGCCGTTGGTCTATGCACTCACTTCATCTAAATTAAGCTGCTTTAGCTCCTTGCTCTCCCTTTAAGTCGCCCTTCTTCTAATTGGCTGCCCCTCACAAAGGGGAGTGAGTGCGTCTGTGCTCTACGGCATCATAAAAGTCAAAGAGTAAAAAAAACTGTCTGACACTGTGTGTTCAGAGCACCCTGAAGCCTGAGTGTCTCACATGGATTACCAGCACTTTGGGCATGATTACTATGAGCAGAAAAAGCATTAGGTCCTCTTTAATGTTCATATGTGTCTGTTTTAAAAATGAGGAAACAAGTTTAATTCCTGTAAAACAGCTAAAAGTAGCTCTATGTGACAATTAACGGATCAGTGGTTATTCTGGCACACAGCAGGTCTCTTTTAGTATCTACTGAAGGTAAGCATGACAGAGAAGGAGGGATGAGGGTGAGGAAAGTGACAGAGCGCTGTAGCTACCTCTTCCTGGCGAGTGCTGGCGTGCCCCACGGGGAGGGCAGTGAGGTCTCGTGAGTCAGGCAGGGAGGCACCTGCTCCGCACGACTGCATCGCGCCACGCGCGCACACATTCAGACACAGGCATGCACACACACACGGCCGTGCAGATGGGCCAGACCGAGGATGAACAGCCAGACAGCGCCAGAGGTTAAAGGAAGAGAAACAGAAAGAGAGAAAAGAAGGGGAAGAGGTTGTTAGTGGAAAAGTGACAGAGAAAACAGGATCAGAGCTCCGGCTGGGGCACATGCACAACGCCACCTACACATGATCCTGGCATGTGGCGTGAGGAGATTACTTTAATAACTGCATTACTAAATATGGATAAGAAATCACAAAGTTTAAAGTTTGTTTTAGACCTTTGTGGTGCACACATGCAGATGGACTGTAATTATCCAGAAAATTAACTTCAACTCAATTTGAGCTCAAATTAAGCAACTACAATCTGTCACAAAGAGCAAACAACAAAGTGACTGTCTTGAGAGTTTTTCTTTTGTTTGCAGAGGAATCGTAGGCGCACTGAAGTTTGGAATATTTGACAGCTGAAATGTCACGAATTCTGGAAAACATGACAGCACCACCAGGCTGTGCAGCTTCTATGTTATACTTGCACGTGTGTGAGCGAGCAGCCACACTTTCAGGGGTTTCACTATGGTGCAATATGCACACTGCTGACAGCTGGATATTATATCTGCTGGTTATTGTGTGAACAGAGGATGGTGAAATTATAACATACAGATTGTGCATTTAGAGCTATATTTATTATTAATCTTGAATAAATGTTCCTAACAAAGCTGCACTGTTGGGTCTTTGCTTTGCTGACCTGTCAAAAGAATCTGTGGCCATCTTGTACAGATAGATGAAGAGCTTGCTGCAGTGCTTGAGCGTAGGGCAGACGCTGTCTCCTGCACAGCCTCCAGGGACAGCCTCGTCCTCCAGGAGCCTCTGGAAAGGCTGAGCGTTGGAGGGGAACACACTTGTGGGGCCCAGCTTCTTAGTGTCTGAGAAACAGCCCAGCAGCCTGGAGGACGGCGAGCAGTCGTTAGGAGAAGGCAAGAGGACAACCATACTCATACAAACAATCATAACACGTCCAAAAGTCTTAATTTCACTCAACTTCAACTATCTGGATGTTTTTCTGACAAACTGTGGTCTACTCGACTGCTTGGTGTGTTGTGTCCACAAAACAAAACGTCTTCTTTCCTAAACAGGCGGTCCTTACCTGACCGCGTCGGCCAGCTTCTCGTACTGGATCTCCGTACGGAAGAAGTGCGAGTTGGCTGGCTCGTAGCGCATGGCGGCGGTGAGCGTGCAGAAGACTGTGTGCAGGAGCTCAAAAACCTGGTTCTGGTTCACGCGCTCCCAGCCGTGTCGCAGCGGCTGACACAGCGAGCGCTCCATAGCCACCAGAAGCGAGGTGACGTAGACGAAGCCGCCCACCTTGCGGAAGACCGTCCGAGTGCGGTGACTCTCTCGCAGCACGGATAACAAAGCCTGAAGAGAGGAAGGATGATTTCATTGGGATTTTTACAGACGGACACGTCTACAAACGCTACTGTTTTTGCTTTAGCTAACGTAGCTTGATGCTTAATGTCTTCTGACGATGTCACACGCCATGTTTCTCCTTCCCTGACAGACCTGAACTCCCACTTATTTACTTTATAACTTGCTCAGTTATTTTCTCCTGTCTTGATTTTTCATGTCATTTATTTTTTGTCAACCCCTTCAATCACATTTCTATTCATCAACTCATTTTTCCTCTCATTGTTCTTTTTCAGGGACATACTTATGAGCCCCTCTGGGTTTCTTCGCCTCGCTGCACCGACTCGGTTTTTATGGTTTGCATTTGCAAGCGACCAAACTGAAACATCAAACTGTAACCTAGATATGCGTCTGGGGAGGTAAAAAAAAAAAATGCCTGAGAACACAGAGCGACTATGACAGGCAAAGGTTTTAATTGGCAAACAGGGAGAAAAATGTCTGCGACCGACAGCAGGTGAAGCTTTTGAATGACACCGGTGACGTGCGGTGTTAATAAAAAATAAACAGCACCACCGGGAGCTTTTTAATATCATCACCTCTGAAGTAAAAATGATGGAAGCATGCGATGCACAACTAAATGATGCATGCTTCTCTGCATACTGCAATAAGTACATGTGCAGTATTTCAGTCAAGAATATAACAAACTAAAGAAGCACTGGTACTAATGTTACTCAGGCTAACTTGACAGTCGTGGATATCTGAAAACAATCAATACATTATTTTTATACATTTGTAATGGTAACGTGAGGAAAAATAACTCTTTAAACACCAGGATATTAACCCCAAACGTCAGTGTGGAGAGCAGAAGACGGACCGCATTAACCAAATTCAATCTTAAAACTATTCCATAGTTGATGAAAATGATTTATTTATGAAAACTATTTATTTTTCCTGATTTTGCTGTACTGGAATCATCACTTTATTTCTGATTTGCACAAATAACTCTCATTCTCTGACACTCTCAGTACCCTGAACTCATTTATTAAACAAACTTTTTTATATTTATGTTCAAATTCAATGTTTTAATGTTTTGGTATTCCCACAACACCTGGGATTGATTATTTAAGATACTGATTAAATAATCAATCCCAATAATAATCACAGACCGTCTCAGAGGGGGACATTAAGTGGGGGAGAAGAGCATGAAGGTAGAGAAATGTAGGGAGGAAAATAGAGGAGAAGACAGAGAGTGGAATGCAGGGATGAGGAAAGATGAAAGGGAGTGAAGGAAGACTGGGGGGGAGTAAAGAAGATGAGGGAGGGAGGAAGATAGGAAGGCAGATTGGGAGAAAGAGAGGGAGGAAGGCTGGGAGGAATAGATGGTGGGGAGGGAGCAAAACAGGGAATAAGAGAGCGAGATACCAAGGAGGGCGATAGGAATGAAGAAAGGAAGAGAAAGGAGGCAAGGAGGGAGGAAAAGAGTCAGGAAGGGAACATGATGGGAAGGCAAATCGGCAGGAAGCGAGGGAAGGATGTCGGTGGTAGAGAGGGAGAAGTGAACAGAGGACAAAAAAGAAAGAAATGGGGTGAAAAACAGGAAGAGGGTCGAGTCCTTGGTCGACCGCTTCAATTTCAGGGCTTTGATTTAGTTGTGAATATTCTGTAGTTGCACAGGATGCTTTCTTCTGTCCAGTCGGTGGGACAGGCTTATTTGGCACCATGAGCAGGATCAGGAAATGCTGAAAAAACCCTGAACCTCAAAGGAATAGATCAACTCCACAGTCTTGTCTTCTGGAGACTGTGGTTTGTGGAAGGCACAAAGAGTTGTCTCAGACCGCCTAGGACAGGGGTCTCAAACTCGCGGCCCGGTGGCCACTTGCGGCCCACGCCACCCCTACTTGCAGCTGACGTGAAGAAATATAATGCAATTTGACCCTTGAAGTTACTTTTTTTGTTAGGAAGGATGTGTTTGTTGTTGACTGCAGTGTTCAAAGAAGTTCTTTAAAAAGCCAAAAATGATTTAATATGAAGGCAACATGAGCAGAGAGCACAAACATGTCGAGGGATTGGCTGCGTTAGTTCACTGAGAGTCAAAAACTAATGTGCGCACTTATGTCTGCATTTTTATTTTGTTAAATACGAACAAAATGATAGCAGAAGTGCTGCCACGTTTCTGGCCGGAAAGAGGACGAGATTGTTTATTTGGCAGTTCAATGAACGGCTTCGGTTAGTTAAGAGAGAGAAAAATGATTACGTTCACATTTGCAGATTTGTCTTGTTAAACAATATTTGAAGTTTAAAAAAACAAAACGTTACATTTTCAGAAACATTTGTGGGTGTTTTCTTGTTTGTTTTGTGTTACTTGAACACTAAGTGGCCCTCCAATGAGACGACAGAGCCAGCAGTGGCCCACAGCTCATTCAAGTTTGACACCCATGGCCTAGATCTTTGCCTCTGTTCAGCTGGTGGAAAAGGTTCCTCTGTTTCCAGTAGGACAGGATCATCAGGTGCACTTTCTTGTTCTGTCACTTCAGAATCATTACAGTGACCAACAGTGCGGTTTGAGTAATGAGTAATGCAGTACTGAGGTTTTGTTTTTGCAGTGTAACTACTGAAGTGGCTGGTGAGAGTATGTGTATATGTATTTACTTTTGAAGCTGTGGTCAAATAGAGTTCACTGAACAAACCGTTATCCATGACGGACCACCAGCATACTAAGAAAGTCAACTCGGACTTTGACACTCATACCAATGGTGCTCCTAAAAATCGACCCCTAACCTCTAAAAGCAAAAAAAGACAAAAGACAAAAATTGACATTTACTTTTTGAAGTATTTTTTGCCTGTTAAAAACATTCAACTCAAGACTCATTCCACGCAATTATTAAAAAAAAATATGGTTCAATATAGGGCAGTATAGGTCTTTGTATCTACCACTCAATTCAATTTTATTTATACAGCGCCAAATCACAACAACAGTCGCCTCAAGGTGCTTTATATTGTAAGGTAGACCCTACAATAATACATACAGCTCATTACATCGCACTCCGCTGTGATATAACGAGCGGTCACGGTCACGTAGCTTTCCGTTGCCCTGCAGCTCCACCCATTTGTAGCAGTTAGAGCAACAGAAGATGCCTGGGACAGTTCAGCCATAACTTTAAACTTTTCCTGCTCATACATGCCTGGAACGATCTTGTCACTGAAGTGGACGCGCAACGGGATATCATAGCGTGGCTCAAGCATGTTCATCATAGTTTAAACCCCTTGTTTTGCACAACAGAATACGGCGTCCCGTCTGCAGCTAAACACCGCAGTAGCTTCTGTAATAGCTTTAGCCGGTCGGACTGGGCAGCAAAGGGCTGCTTAAATACCTCAAACTCCTCTGCTCCTCCACTTGGACCGCTAGCACTGACCATAACTATCGCTTGACAGACTGACCACGTGCACCATACTCATACTTTTTTTCCTTCTTTTTCAGATCACGTGCGTGTCAAACCGTGGAGTGGGATCGGTTCGGATTTCGGATCAACCGTGATCTGTTGCACCACTACTAACCTCTGACCTTGAGGTCCAGGTCACCGACATTTGTCTGAGATTTTTATTAGATACACCCATGATATCAATTGGATTTTTTTTACATCATCTCAGTCTTGAGTTATCGCGATCACAAATTTGAGTGTCATGCCACCCACCTGCCCAGCAAGGTGATGACAATATCCAATCAGCCTTTTACGGCTGAGGGGTAAAACGCAGAGGATTTGGCAGGCTCCTGTTTGACAGTTTACCTGCTCATTACCATGTTAAATGTTCAAGATCATGACAGCAACATTAGAAACAGCACAGCTTGTTTGGAAGGGTTGCTTGGATGGATCCTCTTCTCTCGAAAACAAACATGGAAACACAGCGGCACAGCTTAGGTTTGTTTCTGAACCAACCACAGGACTTCTGGAACTACGTGGATGTTTGGGCATAATGCACAGCGCCACGTCTGACAGCATATTAACACAAACACGTCATACTACTGTGCAGTATGTCAGCACGGTGGTGAAGGGGCGATGACTTATGTTTGCTTTGCAGCCACACGACCTGGCACCTTGAAGTCACCAGTACCAAAGTGTCCTACAGTCAAATGTGAGGCCACCATTAAAACTGGGCCATGCAACAGAAGACAGATCCCAAACTCTGCAGCAAAAGGAAAAACTCAATGCAGTCTTTTCTTTTGAAACACTGGTGGGACGTTAAGAGAGCTGTGCAAAAACTTCTGTCTGCAAACGTGAAATGAACTGAAGCTGTAAAGGGGAAAGGCTTCTACAAGACACTGAATCATGGGATGTTCTTAGCTTTTCACCTAGATGCAATAAGAAAAACTAAGAACATCCCATGTTTTGTTGCTAAGGAACACGCCACCAGTGAAATCTCACAGAGAATTGCATCCCAGTACTGAGAAATCACTGCACTGGATTTTCACATTTCCCATCGCCCATTTCTCAAGATTACAGCTAGAAAAGTAATGAGTATAGCTGGGACCTATAAACATGTCCCACTGGAGGGACAGTGAATAAAGGAGAAGTAAAAACTGTTACACGTTGCACCACTGATCCAGCTGTTTCCTGCTACTTTAGAAGACTTACAGACTCAGCACAATGCTTTTAAAACCAATCACAGGATGTTAAAGACATCCTCTTCCTGGGAAATTGCCACTAGGGTACATCTATACGCACATAAAACTTGGCTTTTGGGGTGTTAAGTTTACCAACCATGGGGAGGCTTTAGGGACAGGCTGTTCTCTCTCGAGATATATACGTGGACACCTTCACAAGGCTGGATTTTACTCTGGTATCTCTTAGAGGGTCTGCAGTGCGTTAGTGTAAGTGATACTTAAACTCTGAAGAAGAGGGAGGAAAAATTATTAAAGTCAAACCAGATTTGATATGAGTTCTTTGGAATCCTTTTTAGGGCGATAATTAAAATCCCTGATTAACGGAATTGGAGTAAAATGCTGACGGGTTAATCCAAGTAAAGCCTCGGCATGTGAATAACCTCGTTTGAAGGAGTGGAATCTGAAAATGCAATTACGCTTCCGCAGATGAGCCTCGCTCACATCCTGTCTGTGTGTGAGTGAATGTGAGTGTAGTGTATGCTTTTATGTGCACCTAGCTCTCAGTGCACCTTGTTTGAAGCAATTACTGTATGCAGGGCTTCAAATGAATATTGATTTTTTAAATTACAGACTTTCCTTTCCTGAGCCATCTCACTCAAATTCACAGACGGGGTTTTTTTAGTGTCTACTAAAACAAATTCAGCAGAAGTAAATGTAAAAAGACACATAAACTGCACAAATTAAAGGAATATAAGTGGTGAATCCCAGCAGAAAGCGCCTCGACAATATTGATTAAAACAAAAAGAAGACGAATAAGTGGCGTGAGCCGTTACCCTCAGTATGTCTGTCTTCAGCTGCAGCTCACTGGGCGGTGCAGAGTGCATGAGGCCCAGCAACGTCCCCATGTCATCGTCGCCGCTGGGCGACAGGACAAGCTGCTGGATGATGAGCAAAGCGTGTTCGCGACACTGGCGGTACTTCACGATGTTGTGAACGCAACGCGCGCCACCGAACTCTCTGAACAGAGCTGCAAGAAAAGAAGAAAACACAAAACATAATGAAATCAGGTCAATTAATGAATAAGCCAGTTTGTTGCTGATGGGTAGATTTCAGAGTACTAAGAACCTGTGGTTGCAACATAATAAAGACTACATCCAAGTTTTACTGCGGTCGGCTCTAAAGTTGAGTCACAATTAATGTACACGCTGAGGACGCGCTGAACTGTTGTGTTTTTTTGCCGCTGTTAGCTAATGTTAGTCGCTGTTAGCCATTGTTAGCTACTGTCAGCCAGAGTTCAACCATCTGTGACGTGGATGTTCCTCTGCTGGATTTGGAAGCTTAGTTAATAAAGTCTTATATGATGTGAAAATGTAGCTCAACTGTTAATCAGAGGTAAGTGTGATTTTTAGCTGCCATGATGCTAGCTCATAACTTGTTGTTCAGCCGGCTCTTATCAGCTGTCTGGAGACGTGAGGATGGCAAATCTAATCTGCTGACAGATTTGAGACTACGCTAGTGGCGCTTTCACCACATTTTTGTTCATTTGGTGAAGAGGACTGCTTCTCTGATGATAAAACATGGGTATGATGCTTTATATCTTTAGTCTGAAGGTGCAGACACAAATTTAAATGTCTCTTACATGGCATTCGGACACCTCTTTTCTGCCTTTGATGTACTACGTGTATGGCCAAACTTTAACCACATGTAAAACACAATTAGTGAAACAGGAGATTTCCTTCTGGCCACAGGATTCAAATACGGTGTGGGTAACATGGTGGCTTCCACAATCCACAAACCAGCTCCAATGTATTTGTAATGAATTAATTCTGAGTTTATGAGAATGCATCATTGGAAGATGCAATCACACTATTCTATGTACAGTTTCCTTTTTCTTCTATTAAATTACCTTAAAAAAAACTAGAGAGTGCACCTTTAAATACTTTCATTCACTGCAAGCCTTGAAGATTTGGTTGTTGCTCCGAGGGACCAACTGGGCCCCAGAATCACCAGAATACTCGTCTCTTTCAATTTCCCATTTGATTTGTAAAATGAAAATTATGAAGTTGTGCACAAATAACCTTAGATCCTTCTTTTAAACATTTATAAGGAACGTTTCGGCATGTTCAAACAACTTCTTAAAAACCCATTTGATAAATGCTTTACTGAAAAATATTTTTGTAACCTTCTTGATATTTATTTAAGTTTATCTGCAAATATAAAAACCTTGAGCAGTCCCATTACTATCATTTCTTTCTAATCTTGCTCAAGTCTCTCCAGGCCAGCTGAGGAGGATCAAGCGTAAAATGTAAATGTAATCAATGTGTCAGAGTGAAGCGCTCCAAATATTACACACATCATCGTCGTCCTCACCGAACCACCCGGTCGTCATCATCAAGGTCAAACGGCGCTGTGAGCTGTCAGTGTTCTCACTGCTGCTTATGCTTGTGATTCACTGCATTTCTACAGCTGACCGACGAACGATGAGCGTGTAAAATAAATGCAATAACATCATTTATTCATCCCTAGTGGAAAACTCTTTCCTTTCCACTTCAACAGGGAGGTCAGAGTTCAAGGCACGTCATCCTGGAGATGCAGAATCAATGTCTTGCTCAAGGACACGTCGGTAAGGATGGGGAATGGAGTGTGTATTAGTTCATTTTAAAGCTACAGTCCGCATTTTAGTAATTTGGCGTTTTTTCAGGAGACATTATTTGCACTGAAAAGATCTGATTTAGTGAAAAGCAGCATCAGAGCTGAGACTCACAAGCATTTGACCCAGCAGGACCTTATAGAGACACAAAGTCGTGTCATTTTTCTTTAAAACTTTTTTTATTATTGTTTCTATTGATTGATAGCACTGACGCTTTAAGCTTGGCTACATGATAAGAATCAGGTACTTAAGAAATTAATTACTGAGGGACATTAAATCTAGTTGTGCCTCCAAAGTCCATATTAATCTATAATTATTCCCTCCACATAACTAAAAACATTTCTGTGTGGATTTCATTTAAAGTGCTGCGATCGTGGCTCAAGAGTTGGGAGTTCATCTTGTAATAGGAAGGTTGCCGGTTCGAGCCCCGGCTCCGACAGTCTTGGTCGTTGTGTCCTTGGGCAAGACACTTCACCTGTTGCCTACTGGTGGTGGTCAGAGGGCCCGGTGGCGCCAGTGTCCGGCAGCCTCGCCTCTGTCAGTGCGCCCCAGGGTGGCTGTGGCTACAATGTAGCTGCCATCACCAGTGTGTGAATGTGTGGATGACAGGATGTGTAAAGCACTTTGGGGTCCATAGGGACTAGTAAGACGCTATATAAATGCAGGCCATTTACCATTTATGCTTTTTAAGAAACTGTTCTGTGCATGAGTTTACCTGCGTTAGTGTTGGTGGTGTTGGAGCCCTGCAGGAGCACAGTCAGCGTCTCCATCACCAGCCAGGCCAACTGCTTCTGCTCCTCAGCCACGGTGTTGTTTTTGCAGTCAGCTAAACATGGAAGGAAACACAGAGCGAGAGGACAGAGGTCGATATTAGACGGGATTACAACGGTGATCCAGTAAAATAGTTAAGTAAAAGAAGCAGTTCACCTTGGTCGTTACTGTGTGGTTGCTGTTGTGGGGGCGGTTCTTTGAGCAATGCCGCGTACTTGTGCAGCAGGTTGACCAGCACCTCCAGCAGTCCGACCTCCCGCAGCACGTCGCTGAACACCGGGTCGTGCCTGGCCAGCTTCAGCAGCGTCCGTACGGCGGTGATGCTGCAGGCGTGCGAAGTGCTCGACTTGAGGAGCACGCTAACGCTGAAGAGTTCCTTACACGGCACATAGTTGAGGCTGAACACTACAAATTCCAGCAGCTCAAAGTACTTGGTCTGAGCCTCGGGGAGCTTGGCCACACGTTCTGCAAACTGAGACAGCGTGTGCTGCGACTCTAGGATGAAATAGTTGGCCGGCTCGGCTGCGTAGATGTTTCCGATGGCGTCCAGGAGCATGCACGCCAGGCGGCTTGTTTTGGCCCGTAGAAAGGCGTTTTGGAGCACCGCAAAGGCCTGAATATTACGCACTGTATGGCCTGAAATTTAAAACACAAAGAAAAAAAATAATAATATATATATGCACTGCATGACCTTAATATAAAATACTTATTTCACTCAATGAGTCGCAATTAAATGAATAATTTATGTTTTTTCTGGATTTTGTGGTTAATATTCTGTCGTCTTCCATTAAAATGAGACAGTATTCATTTCTTTGTAAGTGAGCAAACTTTCAAATTCAGCAGGGGATTTCCGTACAGGCAACAGGAGACTCTTCCTTCAGTTTCTGCTGAATCACTCCACTGAACTTTTTACAGCAACTGCAAAAACGTCTCCTTTCTCCGACCTCTGTTACTCTAAACTGCCGTCTGTCACTGCACAGTTAACAGGGCAGATACACGATACTTCAAATTTCTTCCCTGTTGTCACTCTTTGTTTTTTTAAATATACACGTCTCCAGTTAGCTTCGTTGAGTTGATGCTGGAGTCTTTATAGGGAATAATCTTCATTCAGTGAGTCAACAAAAATATTTTAGGCTTATTTTAGGCTAGCTCAGAAATCATAGGCTATGACTTTCACACTCACAGGACGACAGTAAAGAAAAGGAGCACTGAAAGTGTGTGTCAGCACATAGCCTCAAACACACACAGCAGTTAAGTGGATGTGGCGGGTTAATTAGGCGTGTAAGCGCACCCTCATACCATGATGGCTCCTGGTAATGATTCTGTGCTCAGCTGGAACTGTCACTAGGTGGGTAAACACAAGTGTAACTGCATGTGCTTGTGACTCAGTTGACTTCAGTGTTGTTAGTGGGAGGGTGTATGCGGTTAGAAACCCAACACGCTGACAGTGAGTGTGTTACCATGTGTGAATGGGTGGAGGTGAAAGGCTGAGTTACAAACACCACAGCTCCACAGCTGAAAACAACGAACCCACACAAAGTCAGAATGACAGATAAATGGAGGGAAATGTTATTTTAGTCATTTGCTTCAAAAACAAAGAAATGAATAAGTGGAGATGGACTAAATACAATTTTGAGTTAAAGTAGTTACATCAAGGGCCTCCCAACACAGGGAGGTGTAGCCCATCAGTGTCTGTAACTGAGCTGCACCTCCCAACCCCGTCTGTTGTTGGGGTCTTTGGAGCACATTTAGTGGATTATCTGACTAAAATTATGGTTTTATAGTTTGTACCACACATTATGGCTGTGTAGCACAAACCAAGCAAGGAGATTGACTTTAATTAGTAAAACTGTACTATGCAAGTATTCTCTGCCCTGGCATTAATTAGCAGAATCTGTGTTTGTAAGCTCGTGTGGCAGAAGTGTGGTGCCTGGCTCAGCTGCAGGGGAGGAGTGGGGCAGTGAGCTCAAGGGGGCGGTGCCAAGAGGCTGGAGGGACAGGTGGCGGTGATTTACTTAAGGCTTCTCCCTTTATATATAGTGAAGCCAGAGACCTGGGGGAGAGTGTGTGTGCTGACGACTGACGCAAAAGTTAAACTGCGTGGTGAAACGCACAGCCACATGTGTGTGGTGCTTCAACAAACAGCTCGCAAGCATACAACACGTGTCGGGTCGGTCTTTACACGCAGCGTTGGTCAAAACAGTAATGTCAAGGTTTTAAAATGAATCCAACAGCTTCAGAGTTTTAGTCTGAATTATTTGAATTCTTTATTTTGGGCTTTGTTGTATTGATGTATATGTAAGCGGCTTAACTACTGTTTGGCAAGCATGTACATGTGGGTCAGAAAAAGTACGACGGCATTCCTCAGGTGCATGAAAAAATAAACAAGTTTAAATCTTTCCACAATCAGGATGAGCCTGTTCTGTTTGCATGAAAGAGGCTTCAGTCATTTATCTCCAGCAGCGTCAAAGGCGACAGAGGAATTATGGCGTCTGTCAACAGGTTAATCTTACTGGGATGAAGCACCCATCAGTCATTTCAGTGATGGGGATGGAGGTAGAAATGTAGACTTTTTCAAAAGTAATCCCTTTTTTTGTTTTAGAGCTTCTGGGAAAATCAGGCTGGTGCTACTGTGTAGACTTAAGCTGAAAATCACTGGTTTGTTAGAACAGTGTCGCTGTTTCAACACTTTATTTAAATGTGTCCTTGATTTCTTCCTTAGAGGACACCAATGGAAGATCGTTATGAATCACCTCTAGCTGAGTGTAAGACTGAATAAAACTTTGAATCATGGAGGCTCTAATCCAAGTGCATCATTTGCACATCTATGTTTTACTCTGAAGTCTTGCTCATTATAAAACTTATGACAGATTTAATGATGAGCCACAGTTGCACCTAACATACCTTTCCCAGAAGGTTGCGGGAGAACAAATCCAGGCAACAGGAAGGGGGCGCCGGTTGTCAAGCCAGCAGGCTTCAACTCCGTCACCCCATACGTGCACAGACAGGTGACCAGGTTGACCAGGTCCTTCAAAGCATCTTTTGATTCGTCCTCCTTGGCCTGTTCCAGTCTGGATGCACAAGAAAAAGTTACATCAATCTTCACACAACATAAAGTAAATAAGGTCTCAGTCACAAACATCCAGAGGCTGTTGAATTCTTGGTAGCTACTGTCACCAGAGAAAAAGGTGCAAATCCCTGAATGGTTGCCAAGTGGTTGCTGGGGGTTGCTAGGTGAAACAGGCCGCAAAAGCCTTGTGAATGCTGTGTTTGGTAGCAGACTGCACATTCATGAGCGTAGGACGACAAGTTGTTGGTGTCTTCCATGCAAACTATGGACAACTGTAGCAATTTGCTAGCAAACAAAGAAGTCACGGGGACGGTTTCTGTCCAGCACCCTCTGTGCAACTGATTTCAAATAGCAACCTCCAGCTGCCACTTTTGCACTCACTGGGTAATTCATACCAGGGGTCACCAATCGCTCTAGGTCACTTTGAAACCCTGTGATGAACTGCAGGAAGGAAGACCTAAGCTGTACCTGAGCATGAGGTCGCAGAGGAAGGTGTAACCCTGGCACATTCGGAAATCGTCCAGCAGGGTCTGCGACACGTCGCTGGAGTCTTTGAGGAAGCAGGAGAGGCCGGCAAACATCTCAACGATCTCCAGAGGGGAGAGATCGTCTGACTGCTGCATGTTTTGAACACATGTAGCCAAGCATTCCTTCTCTGTAAACCGAAGAGGGGGTGTTAGAGACAAAGAAATGCAATCTGTAAGGAATTTCTGTGACAGAATGTATGGGAATTATTAAGGACATAAAGAGCTTTCCCTTGATCTTAGATTTATAGGAAGTGAAACAAAAATGCATCAGATGGACAAAGAAACAGCTTCAGACAGATCTGTGCTGCTGTAACAGCTTTTTTAATGCTGAAAGACAAAAGCTTCAGGGTTTTTCTTCTTTAACTTTACATAAACAGTACACAATAATAACAGGGACAACCAAGCTTAAATAATAAATCACATTAAAAATAATGGTTTTACTTAGTGTCACATAAATCATTGCACAAATCTCACAACAAATTGTAATTAGGCAACCCTCTGGAGCTTTACAGGCTGTGAACTGTAAATTATCTGTTTTAAAAGTGGTAGAAAACAAGCTTCCCTGTTTTGTTCAGCAGTATTCTCACAATGTGTTTTTTGTTATTAAGCTGTAGAATGTGTGTGTGGACTGGTTCACATTTTCTAATATTTCAGAGCAAAAATGCACCTCCAGATGTGGTTTGGAAGACGGTTACTTCCAGAAACAGATGTCCTTTGCGGACGGTGCGTTTGTACGTACCGTGGATGTATTTGACCACGTTGACGCTGAGGCCGTGTCGGGAGATGGTGGTGAGCACCTCGCCAGCACTCCTCCTCCAGGGCAGGTTGTGAGGAGGACACCAGGAGGTGATGGCACTAAACAGTAACTGCAGGTCATCCTTCTGGGCCAGCTCCTCCGCTGGAGACACAAATGTGCAGAGCTTCACCAGGATCTGCACAAGTGGAAACGAAATTATTATTGTTTTTTTAAGTTCTGGGTAAAAACAACAAAATAAGCTGCTGAAAAAACAACACAAGCCCGAGTCTTTTGTCACGGAGATACGACTGCGTTTGTGACGCAGGCTGTTTGATGAAAAGATTCAGGATTAAAGTCTTTATGGGAGGCAGAACCTCCAGTCTTTTTATCAGTGAACAAATAGATTTAAAATATCAAAATAAGCCAATAACCGTGTTATAATCCTCTGATCTGCTACAGACTCTCCACGCAGACTTTTTTCGCTCCACAATTCAAACACAAACATTTTTGACGATGTTTAAATGTTTCAGTTATTCTTTGTGTGAAGGTTTTAAACATAAAGCAAGCTGATAGAGGCTCTTAGTCTGGAGTGTAACAGCTGACACTGTTGTCTTTTTACCTGGACAAAGACTTTCTGGAGGAGCGCCCTACGGTCAGCCAGGGGCAGCTCGGGTTGGGTGTGCCCTTGCCCTGGCGTCTTCTCTTGGCTAGGTGGTGGTGGTGGTAGTGGTTGTGGCGGTTGTGACGTGGGGCCTACGGGTGCCTCGGCCATGTGGGGCAGGTCAAAGAACAAGTAGAGGCATTTGACGAGCGTGGAGGGCACAGACATGGTCGTCATGCAGTCCACAGTTTTCTGTTGAGGGGCAGAGAAAAGGGGATAACATTTTATTTCCCACACAGTTCAGGAATACAGGGCTATACTCAGGCTATACTCATAATGTTCCAGCCTTTATTTGTCACTTTATTAAAGTTGAGCTGATTCAACACATTAGTTTGTATTTGAAGTAACCCACTAAGACACCAAAGTCACAAAATAACACAAACCGAAGGGCCACTAACTTTTTTTAGTGGAGTCTAACGTGTTTGCTTCCCAATCACAAAGACCTTGTGCAGAGGCGCAGTGAGGGATAGCATTAGCTAGAGAAATGCTAATCTTACAATATACAACACTGCTGGATAAGAGCATGAACAGCAGTGGTGGTTCTATTCAACGACCTGTACTTTACTTTTTCTATGCATTTCTAGTTCTGCTATTTTCTTCTACTCAGCCACATTCTGGATGCTTAATTCTTATTTTGCAAATTCAGAAAATATAAATCTTCTAATGTACGGGTGGTTGTAGCTCAGGTGCAGGTCAGCCACTAATCAGAAGGTCGGTGGTTGGATCCCAGGCTGCCAAATACTAACCCCATGCTTGCCTACTGGTGGTGGTCAGAGGGCCCGCCTAGCTCTTGGACCAACAATTCAAATAAATTTGGCTCATTCATGCTGTGATCAGTGCCAAGATGTAATCCATCTAATGATGAGGCTTTGATGGTGCAAGACATAAGAAACCCACACAGTGACGTCTGCAGCACCGGTAGGTGGGTTGTAACTGAAGGGCAGGGGATATTTCCTGAGTGTCTGAGAGTAATTCGGTGTGAGGAGTCTGCTGGGAAAAGGACGGACTACATGCTAAACTGCCATGTCTCTTCCTTGTTGATGGGTCTTTCTGCAAGAGCTGTGACTTAAGTGCCAGAGCTTTTTTTTTTTTGGTCATTCATAGAGTGTGTGTGTTCAAATAAATGTTTTTAAGCTACAACTGATGTGACACTCAAACCTAACATGACTCCAGTGGTCAGAATAGAGTGTGTGTGTTCAAATAAATGTTTTTAAGCTACAACTGATGTGACACTCAAACCTAACATGACTCCAGTGGTCAGAACAGGTGTGCTGTTGTTGTCAATATAACAGATGTGTTATAGAATCAATTGAAAGTGAGCCTTGTGTATAATGACAGAAACAAAGGAGGGAAGTGAAAGGTCCAGATTTTATTTCTCCCATATCCTACTTGCATTTTCCTGTTATTTCTGCCCATTTGATGAAGGTAACTTTTCATTATGGTAGGCTAAGCTTGTTGAAAATATAACTTTATATCAATGCTGGTGATATTTCTGCCCATTTGATGAAGGTAACTTTTCATTATGGTAGGCTAAGCTTGTTGAAAATATAACTTTATATCAATGCTGGTGATTTTTCTTTTGGAAGAGGAAAACAACCCCCTTTCTTTTATGCAGAAAAAAGAAAAAACTCTCTCTTCTTGCAGTCGTCTAAGCTGTTGATTCTGTTTTTATCACCAGATATTTATCTGTCGTACGTAGGCTTTGCAGCCCTGTGATATCTCCTAGCAACCATTTCAAATAGTCTGGAGAGAAGCTGACATGTGGAACAAATTGCTAAATATATATCAACTACGTTCAAGGGAAGAGTGATGCGAAACGATGATCAGTCACAGATGCTAATCTGTTGTTTTATTTCTTAACTTGCAGTTCAAAGTGAATGACTGAATCAGTGACCTGAATTTGGGCCGTACAGCCTCTGCTTCAGTGCAGTAACAGCTTGTATACAGAGATCTGTCAAATCTGCCAATCAGAAGAGATCTTTCCTATATTAGTTGCGTGTATATAGATATATAAACATAGATATAGATGGATGGATGGCTAGACCGACAAATAGTATGTCCAAGCAGAGAAGCCCAGATTTCTTCTCCCAGGCTACCTCTTCCTGCTCATTGCCATTCCCAAGCCAGCCGTCTCTCCGGCAGATCCTTAATCTGCCCCGGGGCCTCCTACCAAGAGGACATGCCTGAAACACCTCGCCTAGGAAGTATCCAGGAGGCATCCTAGTCAGATGCCCGAACCACTTCAACTGGCTTTGATGTGGAGGAGCAGGAGCTTTACTCTCCCTCTCGAAAGACTGAGCTCCTCTTCCTATCTCTAAGGAAGTGCACAGCCACCCTTTGAAGGAAACTCATTTCCGCCACTTCTATCTGCAGCCTCATTCTTTCTGTTACTACTGAACTGCCATAGCTGCTACACCAATTTATTTCCTGTTTGTTTGACTCCCTAAATTCATCATCTTGGTGTTTTAAGTCAAATATCACGAGCTGCAATGTCATAAAGCTTACCCTTGTCTATTTACACAATATAGATTTATTTAATCTGTTAGATTTGACTGTATGTTTGTTAGCAGTCTAGCAATATCATTTTTACACTTTGTGTGACGTTTGATGCCAATAAATGAGCTGATTTAATTTTGGGGAAACTAAAGGTCAAGCTCCCACCAAAATCAGTGAAACTTTATATTACCCACAATTCTTTCATGGATTGTCTTCAAACTTCACAACAATACACTAGATCGTGGGGTACATGGATACATAGGTTGGCTAAGCATTTGACATTGACCTTCATTGTTAATGTCCAAGGTCAAAGTTAACCTTCAAATTTTTTTTTCAAGAAACCGCATCGAGTAATTTATCATATGAAACCAATCCCACCAGATTTCTTTGTTTTTGCAGCCAGCCATTACAAAAATGTAATTAAGTAGATCCTGAATGATCGTGGGTACAAACACACAGAGCATTATTGCACCTACTGCTTCTATACCTGCACGGTGCTCATGCTAAACCTTCTTTGTAGACAGAAAATGTCAATAAATGTGCCTAAAGATAACTTGTAACACTTGATAACTGTTACAATTCTAGTACTCTGTTACACTTATGAAGAAAGGTAGCTGTACTTATATTCACATCGTCTACAATTGTCAGAATTATGAATTAATAAATACTTTGATTTAAAAAAGAAACAAAACAAGAAGCTAATCTGTGTGAAATGTGAAATATCATCTATATCTATATTTGGCTGTTTTTGATACTCGAGACCATTTACAGAGTTGAACTGATACCAAATAGCAGGGACTTTCAGTTACATAGACTAACAAGATCTTTATGTATTGAGTTACTGTGAGATGTTTATTAGATCTTCTCTTTCCCATCTGCAGGGCTGCCTTTGCCCTGACAAAGCCGCTCAAGATGAACATGGTGAAAAGGATCATGGGGCGGCCGAGGCAGGAGGAGTGCAGCCCCCAGGACAACGCGCTGGGCCTCATGCACCTGCGACGCCTCTTCTCCGAGCTGTGCCACCCTCCTCGCCACATGACCCAGAAGGAGCAGGAGGAGAAGCTCTACATGATGCTTCCTGTATTTAACAGGGTAAGTCACACCATGGGTGGAGGGAGAACTGGAGGTGCTCCAAACAGGCGGATTAACAGATATTTGTACATATGGCAGCTCTGATGTGGCAGGTTACAGTTTGCTTCATTTGGTTCCTGTGCTGTCTGTAGCTATCTTTCAAATCATGTGTTTCTCGTCTGTGCAGTATTAAAAAAAAAAGGAAAACAAGAAGAGAGCTCTGTTGTGCTGGGTTACAAACACGCTAGAGCTGCTTCCCTGAGGTCATGGGTGCAATAGATACTATAGATGCATTGACATTTGAAAACGAGATCTCACCAGGGAACTTCTGCAGATTCAAATCCAGTGGTTAAAAGCATATTTTCATATTTTCATACGTACCTGTCTGGATAGCTCTCAGATTCTGTTCCACCAGACTGCAGATAAATGGAATGGAAATGAGCTTGTTTACTTCTGTGGGCTTGTTGACTTTAGGGCTAAAGGTTAGCTGAACAAAGCACAACGAAGTGGACTTTTCAGTCCAACCTTTGTGTCATATATTTTTTACTGTCTCCACAGTGTACACAGGCATGAGGTTTTCAAATTATGCTTTTATTTATTAAAGCAAAAAGGTTAACCAAATCTACCTGGCCTTGTATGAAAAGGTTGTTGTGCAAACGTTTGGCAGTGAGAACTGCAGTTTTGTGTTTGCAGTAACTGGCAATGGGTCTTTCACACAGCTATTGATGAATTTAGACGCACTCATCTATGAAGAATTACTTTAATCAACCACATTAGAGGGTTTTCAAGTATGAATGGCCTGTTTAAGTTCATGCCGAAGCATCACAGGCAGATTTAAATCTGGACTTTGACTAAGCCACTCCAAAACCTTAGTTTTATTTTTTATTTTTTACCCATTCAGAGGTGGACTTGCTGGTGTGTTTCTGATTATTGTCCTGCTGCATAAGCTAAGTGCAGTTAGCCAGAATTCTCATTCTTGTAGAGAGTGGCATGCATGGATGCATCAATTACAGCAAGTTGTCCAGGTCCTGAGCAGCTCCAGACCATCATACTAGCACCAGCACCATGTTTGCCTGTAGTGTCAGTGTTTGGAAAGCAGTTAGTCTTACACTAGATGTAGCAGGAGTAGGAGGAGCTGAACTTTTCAGGTGCAGATCAAAGCAAATAGTACCCAAAACACACCTGGTTGTCAGGTGTTAAGGAGTAAGTGCTGAAAAGTACTGAACTCACTGAACTACACATTGTCTCATCGTTAGTTTGGTGTTTATAATATTTCAGAATCATTTGTGATTAAATTAAACAACCTTCAAAGCTTTTTTAAATTATATATTCTGCTAACTAACTAATGTTAAGTTTTATTGATTTAAGCACTAATAGGAAAATCAGACCAGTTGAATGGTGGGGGTGTAACTATTTTGATGCAGGGGGAGAAAAGTCCAGTACAGACTTGTATTTTTTTATCTTTTAATATTTATCTGTAGACTAAATAGATTCAGGTTTATCCAACATTTTTAATTTCTGAAATCTCAGTTGTGCAGTTTCTGAGCCAGGTGGAACAGCTCACTGTTGTTATGGTCATTCAGCCTCTCCAGAGAGTCTCTCCCTCCCACTTTACAATGGCCTTAAGCTATGTTAACAAAATATGTTATGAATTACTAATTAATAATAAATTTTCATAAAGCATTTTTGCACCTCCTATTGGAAAAACTCTAAAATCGAATCCAGATCTGTGGAAACCAGTCAAGTCGGTGGGTAATCATGGAAGTGAGCTACACATATTAACAACTTAACAAAATGAAGTTGTTGAAATCCCTATAGCTGTTTTGTTTTTTTTATCCAAAAGAACAGAAGTAAAGCCTGCAGGCCAGTAATTCGCCTTTTTGTTTGGCAGCCGCAGCTGTAGGCTGCCTTTGTTAAGTGTGCTCATCAAGCTGGAGTGCACTGCCAAGGGTCTCTTGACTTGTCTGCTAATTACCCACCACTGGCTGGGATTCACACCTGTGGCCATACTCATGTCAGAATCTGGATGTAAAGTGGTCCCTGTGCGGCGGGACGGCAGCCTCCTGCCCTGCTCTCAAGTCAGATTTGCTGGATAAGTAAACAGATGACGAGTCTTTGCTGGATGAAGAGAAGTTTGTCTTTGTTGACCTGCTGCCCCAAAGGCTTAGCCTCCAATGTTCTCTGTCACCATAAAGTAGTGCATTCAAGCAAAACCTGTCACAGATATCAACAGGAATGAGGATTTCTGTAACTGCACACACCTGACTATAAGCTAGGTTACATATAAGTATCGAGTGAACAGATGTCTAGTTTTTGAGTCTTTTTTTGGTTCCTCTCTTCTTGTTTTTTTAAATTATTATTTTTTCATTAATCAAATGCTTTTTTTTGTCCACTTCAGGTGTTTGGGAACGCACCTCCCAGCAGCATGATGGAGAAATTCTCCGACCTGCTGCAGTTCACCACCCAGGTGTCCCGACTCATGGTGACTGAGATCAGACGAAGAGCCTCCAATAAATCCACAGGTGAGCTTGCAGATGCACACAGACTCATATTTGTAAGTGCAAAAATGCACTATAGAGTAGGCCTACTTGTAGAGTTCTTTGGCACCAGCCAATTTCTCATAACCGGTTTGTGTCTTCTATTTTCCTTTTGGCTGTGCAGATGAACACAGTGGTGTTGAAAGAGATTTTTGTTCTTTATTTAGATACAAAGACAGTTCTTATACAGAGTTTCAACTATAGAACTAATTGTAAGGCACAGATGGAGCATCTGAGCTTTGTTAGGTACACATAGTAGATGACAAGATAGAAATGAAGACTCTAGGGAGTTTATTTTTTCACTTTCCCCCATAAAGACAACATATGACGGCCTCCCCAGTACTCTTAATGATGAGTTTGGACACCTAAGTATATATAAATATGTCGTCTGATGACTATTAGAATATTTTCTGGGTTTTTCTAAGGGTAGCTGGTTAATCCAAACACAGGCATTTCTTGCAAACGTTACTCCTGTTAGGCTTTCAAGAGTTAGTACCACATATGGCAAGGACCCTAATATACTGTAATCTGTATATTATTAGTGGACATAAGTACACGCCCATGTCTGATTATGATTGGTCACTGATTTTAGTCAATGATTTAAAAAAAATAAAATAATTGATGCTCAATATAACTGTCTACTCCATCCTGGAAACCCGATTTATTCTATGGATGTGCGTAAGAGCTTCGTCTTATTCTACCCTATCACAATAAGATTCTTTTATTAATTGTTCCCCTAAAGATAAATACATATTTCATTGTTTTAGTCAAGAATGTTTAAAGCTGATTTCATGATTAATGGAGAAAAAATGTTGGTGTTACCCTAATCAGATAAGGCCTTTCCCAGAATTTTGCACTTTATTTTTTGACTTTTTGGCTCTCAGTAGATACGTTTTCCTCAAAGGATCAATGCAATCCTACTTCAATCTGAAAGGTTAGCCTTCACTGCGGGCGAGCCAGCAGCATCTCATCAAAGCGTTGACAGCCGTGGCAGCTTTGACTGTGGCTTCCTCAAAAAAGACGCACACAAACAGACACACACACCAGCTTTCTATTTCTTATTTCTTCCGCTTTATCTCGTCCTTCCATCTCTTCCTCATCCCTGTCTAATCATGTGACGTGCTGTTATCAAACGGTGAACGGTTCTGATTTTGCAACACAACGGTCTAAAAAGCACTCCTACAGTTGGTCACCAGGCCTCTTTAGAATGAGTCAGTACATGATTCATGCTCTCAACTGACGTTGCAGTACTCATTATCAAAACAACAGATGTGGATTTGCTCTGAACAATGAGCAACTAGACTTTGGCTCAGCTGGTGGGTTGGATTAAGGAAACCTTTTCAAAAGCATTTTTATTTCTGCTCACAAAAGCGACTAAAAATGTGTGATTTGCTTTTTTATTATGGTTCGGTTCTAATGGATACTTGTTCCTAAACCTAACCTAGTGTGGCTATATTTTTAGGACAAAGAGTGCTGTGATAAAATTGGTAAAGACATGAGCTAACTGAAAAGCTAGAGCGTGGGACCGAAATACAATATTGATGTATTATTTTCAAGATCACAGATAACCAAAGCCGAGAAGCCCAACCACACGTTCCCTTTTGTCACATCCACTGTAATGATTAATTTGTTACATATTTGATCATTATTCAAACAGCCCATCTGCCCCACAGTGAGCTGTTTCTACCCAGTTAACCACACGTTTGTGTGTGTGATTGTTTTTCCAGAGGCAGCCAGTCGAGCCATAGTCCAGTTCCTGGAGGTGAATCAGAGTGAGGAGGCGAGCCGCGGCTGGATGCTTCTAACCACCATCAACCTGTTAGCTTCCTCCGGACAGGTTGGTAGAAAAGACACTGTACAATACTGTGTGAAAGTCTTGAACCACCTCTCATTTCTTCAGCCCTTGGAAGCAAAAAATAAACTTTTTTGTAATTTCTCAAAATGTTCTTGAGCAATACTCCTCCAGGCTCTCTGGAGGTGTTTTTAAAGTTTTCCTTTGGACATTGACTGCTTTTTCAGTCATTTTCACTCCAGTCCTTTTGCCTGACCATTTTCAGATCTATGACTCATTCAAGCATTAAAACACCTCCTAACTCACGGGATGAACCAGTGTTGTGTTTGCACATAATCTCAAAATTAGCACAGCACCAATGTTAAATCTGTCTTTAGGCAGTTTCACAAGCATGAAATTGTATTTTTGCACCAACAATATGATTCACAAAGTGCTTTTAGCTGACACTTTGGCATATTTTGGAATGCTCTGCAGTGTGTCCTGGAGGACAAAGGAAGATGTCAGCCCTAAAAATATATTATTTAAGAAATAAGAAAAAAAATCCAGCAAACGGCCCTTCTGTTGACACATCTACTGTTCACTGAAGCCTCATCAAAAATGGTGTCTGGTAAGCTGGCTGTCAAGAAGCCATTCATTAAAGGGAGAAAAGGCTGGTGTATGTCAAATTCTGCAAGAACTGGACTGAAAGTCAGCGACAGGTCTGACGAAGTGATGATTTGCACAGTAGAGCAGGGCGATATGACCAAAAATATTTATCACGATATACATTTGAAAATTTGCGATAACGATATAACTGACGATATAATTGACACTAGACAAAATACTTTACAACTCCACAACTTTATTAGTGCAAAAAAAAAAAAAATCAATGTATTTTCACTTAAACAAGCAGCTTTTTTATATCCATTAAGTTATATAAAAATTAACAGTGCAAATGCAAATTCCTGGCTGACAGTTTAACCAAAAGGCATTTCCAGTGGAAACTGGCCGACATATCCTCAACATAACCATGTATAATATCCACAAACCTTAAAAACAGGTCATACACACACAATACAGTAATATTATGTTGAAGCGCAGTACGTATCACTCCGCGAGGCTCGCCTACGATAGCCGTAATGCTCCGACAATCCATCAAGCGGTGCGGCTTCGTAGCTTAGCAAAGTCGTACTGAAACATCTGACAGATTTTCGAGCGCCGTGCACATAAAATCGTTTCGAGGTCAGTAAACACAACCAGAGTTCATACATAAGGCACACGGGATTATAAGGGGCTCTGTCGACTTTCAGAAAAATCAAAGGATGATTTTAAGTGCGCCGTATTTTCCAAACAACACGGTAATAACGACGGCCCGCTAGCATGCGCTACCAAAAATAGTGCTTTGTTGTGTATCTGACGGACGAAAGCTAAACCAGTTCCACACCAGTGAAGCTGCAGCATTTTTACAAACCGTTCTGGTTCATCCGTTTCATTCAACGATCCACTTTCGCTCTTCTCATTCTGCATCGCCGCCATGTGCGTCTGTAAACAAAGGCACTGCCTTATACCGGTATTACTGTGAACGGTATGATATAGCCCAGCCCTAGTGTGGGGTCATGTTGACAAAGAATGGATTAAAAGGAAATGAACATTCAAAGAAAAGCTTTGATCTGAAGCCTGAAGAACTGTTTCTGAAAACTATTTAAAGAAATGAAAAGAACGTTTACCTAAGAGAGTTCAGGCTGCGCTGAAGGTACCGTAAGAACCAGGAGACTTCAGTATAATTAACAATTCTCACCTGACCGAGTCTCATTTATTCTCCCCAAACACAACCTTTCTATCTGCAGTCTTCTGATGCTGCTGGATGTCACATGAAGAAAATTCATGCATTGTGATTTTTCTTTGTAGCATTTAGTCACAGTAATGAGTGCCTTACTCTGTTCCTACCACCTGCTTATAAAGGTTGGACGTTGAGCTCTTGTTTTCGTCTTTGTCTGTAGTCTTGAATTGTGGCCAGCAGACTTCTTTTGAACTTTTTGGCCTGCGTTCCTCTGGAGGTCTTGTGGGGAGTGTTGCTGTCAGCTGGTCGGCTGTCTGCTTTTCCTGCTCTGCTGCACATCAGAAATTCACTGTTGTTGTTGCTTTTGGGTGGAACGCTTCTTCCCATCTACAGACACGTGATCCACCCCCTCTTCTCTGTGCCCAGTCTTTAGCCGCTCTCAAGCATGCGCTGTTTAATAGTTAGGCAGGCAGCACCTTAATATGTCGACTTACTGATTATTTCCTTGAATGCAGCAACAACAATCTTGCCAAACCAGACATAGCAAAATGGCACTTGGCCAGGCTGTGAGACAGGCAGTGTTCTTCTGATGTAACATGTGAGCACTTGGACCGACTCCTGTTGTCAGTTATTTATGTAACTAAATGATGAGTAGGACATAACATGTTGACACAGAGTTCCTTTATTTTTTGTCATTTGTGAATGTCTGGTGGGCACGGATCTTTCCTTTGTGCTCCAGAAATGCACTTGGACTGTAGGTTTGGATGATTGGATGAATTTATCGGAAAAACTTGATCACCAGTTGACATTTTTAGGGCAGTTTTTTGTGGTTTTCTGTAGCCAGTTTTGTGGTCTGCTTTCTTAAGAATTCCACTTGGCGTATACTTAACTTGTAGAGCACTTGTAAAATAGTTGTGTTGAGCAAAAGTAGAGAGTACTACACATGTGATGGAGATTCCCATCACTTCCTAGTTACTGAATGACAGAGCTTTGATATTCGTGCACAACAGCACAGCATCTTTGTGCAACTCTCAACTCTTGCTCAACACGAAAGAAAGGAAGGAGGCAAGACGGCTGGTAGTATTCAGCCGCTGCGTTTTAAAGGTTGGGTATTTCCATCTCCCTGTAGCCCAGCATTTCTGAAATTTCCATTTACTGTCGCTGATTTACTCCATAGGTGATGCATGATTTATTAGTCTCTGTACAGCTTTTATTTAAATAGAACCAGTTCACAACAACATAAGCATAAAATCTGTGTTCGTAAAGCAAAGAGTTTCTGATTTTGCTCATTAGCCGTGTACTTTGATAAGGTTTTTTTGGAAAGACTTGCATTGCCCTCTCTCGGGAAGGACCTTAGTAAGCGCTGGCGTTGCTCTGTGCCGTGTGTTTCAGACTGAGATGAGCTGCAGCTCAAGACACCAAAATGCTGGAGAGAACGTCCAGCTGAGTTTTTCTTGTTCCTTCGGCTCAAACACAAGTGGCTTGTCTGTGATCTGATTGGTCACACGTGTAAACACATTGAGGATGTAAATGTAAACATTCATTTAAATGATAATTTTAGGTTTATTGGTCAGTACCACTGGACATGCACACTGCACAGTCAGCGGTCTCCTTTAAATGAATAAGGGCTGCTTCTTGTGACTGTTTGATATCAGCGAACACAGACGGGCAGTAAAAAATAACCCGTGTCGTTCGTGTGTGTGTGAGAGTGAGAGTAGGTTTAATGGATTTCTCCAGGCAACTGGCCTCCCATAAACCTGACGTCACCTCCCTCCCTTTAATGCTCTCCCCTCTCGCTCCCTTTCTCCCCCACCTCCTGCTCTTCTTCCTCACAGCATAAAACGGCAATATTTTTGTCAGTAACTCAGTCTGGACTCTTCTCTTGTTTTGTGTTTTTAAAGGGTGCCCTTCATGCACTCCCACTGCGCTTGTTTCTCTCTCTCTTTTTAAAACAGACAGGAGATCAATTTATTGGTATTTTTCTTCTCCTTGTGTCTGTCTTCTTCTCCCTTCCTGTCTCTCTGTTTTTCTCACACACTGTTAAATGCCTTCGTCTCTCTGGTTTTGTCTCTCATTTCTTCACGGTAACCTTGACCTGACTGCAGTGGGACCAGTATTCTGTGACAGCCTGTAAACACACACACACACTCACACACACACACACACACACACACACACACACACACACACTCACACACACACAGACACACACACACACAACCACACACCACCACACACACTCTTCGGCGTGGGCTTGTTGTACCACAGGTGCTGGTCCAGTCTTCCATTGTTGTGACTCACCATCATCTATACACACCTCTGCCTACTTCTATATCTTACTCCTTTCTTTTTCTTTTTTCCATCTGAGGGGCTGAAACTGCGTGTGTGCCTGCTGTGCTTTGTTATTCATCGCTGTGCATCCACCTCCTCTCCATCGTGTAGACGGCGTTGGAGTAAATGGGATGGTCATTTCATCCAGCTGCAGCGCGTGTGTGTGTGCGCATGGGCATATGTGGTCTTTTGTGAGAGCTCGTGTGTAAGAGCAATGTAATTTGTCTCTGTGTGTTTGTGTGTGCGTGTGTGCGTGCGTGCGTGTGTTGGGGAGGGCAGCCGTTTGATTAATCTGAATCATTCCGCCCATGTGGAACACAAAACCCCCATCTCTTTCTCGCTAGGCCTTTCATCCTTTGTTCAACAGACACAACACCACCACACACACACAACCCACACACATCACACACCACACACACACAGACACACACACACAACACACACACACACACACACAGACACACAGTACACACACTGTGGAAAACACTCGGTGAACACACACCTCAGGCCCTTATAGCTGAATCTGAAACACTGAATCACAGCACAACAGAACACCCATTTACCAAAGTCACCCTTAAAGCAGCATTTTTATCTTTGTCCTGCTGCTGTTGTGTAGCTCTTTATTTTAGGTTGATATAAAGTGATTATATATGAATGTGGAAAAAATAAATCATGTTCCTTTTAGACTGAAAGGGGAATATGCAACATACAGTTGGATCCATGCGTTATTAGACATTTACTTCATTTTTGTTGTTTTGCCTCTGCAGACACAGTCGAGGTGTGTTTGACGTTCACGCTTTCAGCTTCATTTAAAGTGGAAGCTGATTGCTCACATTTAAGGAACAAGAGATCAGAGTATTTCAAAAATGATTTTAGAAAAATAGTATTTGTTTTTTTTTATTTTTAAGTGATTTAAGCAGAAACATAATCGGGTGAAACAAAAGGGGGGGGAATACGCAATTACAAATACAAACAACGAATAAATAAATACCTCAGGGTTCTTGTATGTAATGGTTGAATAAGTGAATGAAAACTCTTTAAGCTATTCAATATAGCAGCATGTAAGTGAACACAAGCCAGTTTCCATCATTCTGTTCTGATAGGCTGCTGTCATCGATGACGCACTTCCTAATTTGAAGTGTGAATCTGAAATAAAGTGCCAATATTGTGCAGCAGTAGTGACACAGCAGAAGTCTAGTGTAAGCACAAGTAGGCTAGGTTGTGTTTTCCCTGGAAGTTTTAACTGGAAGTATAAAATAGCTGCTTCACACTTTAGGTTAGCAAAATCTAAAGCAACTTAACCTCGTAACTCTACTTAAAGCCCTGCTTTTCCACCCACAGCAGTTATTTCCAATGAATGTTTGCTGTCCCTGTCATAGAGAGTGCAGCGAGCGGACGCTCGGTTTACATTTGGGTCGCACATCACCGCCTGCTAGTATCTCCTCCTTCGTAGCCTGGTTTTACTTAGTCTCAAAGCGCTTTACACTACATTCATCCACCCATTCACACCCAAGCTACATTGTAGCCACAGCTGCCCTGGGGCGCACTGACAGAGGCGAGGCTGCCGGACACTGGCGCCATCA